ACTAAATATGTTATTAAAACCGTTATTAAAGTGAAAATGACAGATAGATAACGATTTAATTGTTGGTTATAATCACGAATTTCACGTTGTAACATAGCAAATGATTGATAATGATGTCCAATTATTTGTCGGAAAAATAATTCACGAAAATTTTGATGAATCCTCTCTTTACGCTCATAACGTAATAATCGTCCATAAAATCGTTGTAATCTACGAACATATGATTTTTGTCGCAAATTTATATAATATTGGGCCATAAATATAATCAATGATACATGATATAAGCCTTTAAATTAAGAATAATTATTAGAATTGAATCGATTAATGTGTTTTCTTACCTGCAATTGAATTAATTGCCCATAATTGAATAATAAATAACCAGATAAATGTCCAGAATATTGATATTTGCCACGATGATTGTAGAATAGTCATTGTTATATTAGCTAAAAGAAACACTATGCAAATGGTTAATGTTTCTAAACGAATCAATGAAAAAAAATGATTTCTAATCGATGCATATTTATTGGAATCTTTTGTGTTCAATTCACGATATTTTTGATGTTGTATTGGTAATAGAAAATAGAAATGTTGATAATATCGAGATGATGTATAAAAACCATTCAATAGACCATTTATTGACCATATGAAGAATCCAGTCATCAGATACTGTAATCCTTCGTTGGGAAATAGTCTAATCATTGTTTGATAAAATTGATAATTTTTAATCCATTCTAATTGTTCAATATAAATAAAAGCCATAATCATAACTAATATGGATGGGATGATAAAAATTGGATGATGATGTGGTGGATTCATTATCTTGCCAATTGGTTTCGTATCGATTGGATAATTATTTTCAATGATTTGTTTTTGCATTAATTCGTCATATTTGAAAATATAAAAAAATTGATTATGAAATTTCCGAAAATAATTGAATTTCATCAATTTTTTCCATAAATTTATCTCTAAATCCAGAATGGCATTCATCATTGCTTTTGTTGTTCGCACAGAGTGGTGATACTTGATTGATGATTGTTCATCGACCGAATGCGGATTTCATTTTGAATTTGATTTTCATTGAAAAATAATGAAGAATATTCATTTTTTTATTGTCATGGATCAAAAAAAAAAATAATTGAAAATTGCATTTCACATACAGACACACACACACACACACACAGTTCAAGTGTGAGTTTTTCAACGAAAAAAAAAATTATCCTGAAAATCAAATAAAGCTTGATTTTACTTTGAAACTTTTTTTGATTATTTTTTTTTTCATTTCTTGTTCATAACAATCGTCAGTCAATTTTTTCAATTGATAAAATTTATTACCATATTTAAGTGCAGTAAAAAAGAAAATTTGACTAAATTAAATTCGTGGTGCCATTTTTATTGTTTTTTTAAAGTTTATTTTAATATTTCTACGATAAACACAATTACAATTTTGATTTTTCAATTTTTTTCAGTGCAAAAAAATCATTATTATCGTACAATATTCTATGAAATTAGAAAGAAAAATGAACTAATATTGACTAGGAATGTAACAAATGTATATGATGTGATAATCACGCCGTTTTCTAGCTGAAAACCTAATGGTCGATTCAATTGAATATTTGTTATTGTTTCAAACTAATTTCAAATGATGAAAAATTGATTAACAATTGAAAAAATACACAAATTCGCAATATCTTACCTTGAATAATTGAAAATTATGAAACAATTTTTGTTCACATGTCGTCGATAATGTTAAACATTTACGTTGTAATCGCAATATTTTCACGTTATTCTGTTTAATCCTATTGCAACCAATGATCAATACTGATAATGTCAAAAATTGTGTGTGTGTTAGCACAATCAATAGTAATAGAAATATGAAATTCTGTTCTGTCATCAAGATCAGATAAACTACATATGTGATTGTAACAGTTATTAAAGTAAAAAATACCGATAAATAATTTTTTAATCGTTGATTATAATTTTGAATTTCATGTTGTAACATAGCAAATGATTGATAATGATGTCCGATCATTCGTCGTAAGAATAATATGCGAAAATTTTGATAAATCCTCTGTTTACGCTTATAAAGTAATAATCGTTTATAAAATTGCTGTAATGTACGACCATGAGATTTTTGTCGCAAGTTTATATAATATTGGGCCATATATATTATCGATGATATATGATATAAGCCTTTGAATTAGGAATAATTATTAGAAATGAATCGATTAATGTGTTCTCTTACCAGCATCTGCATTAATTGTCCATAGTTGCATAATAAATATCCAGAATAATGTCCAGAATATCGATATTTGCCATGATGATTGTAGAATAGTCATTATTATTTTAGCTAAAAGAAACATTAAGCAAAGAATTAAGGATTCTATGCGTATCACTGAAAATACGCGATTTCTAATCAATGCATATTTGTTGGAATCTTTTGTGTTCAATTCACGATATCTTCGATGCAATATTGGTAATATAAAATGGAAATGTTGATAATATCTAGATGATGCATAAAAACCATTTAATAGACCATTTAATGTCCCTATAATCAATCCAGCCATCTGATAATGTAATGCTTCATTCGGAAATATTCTAATCCATGTTCGATAAAATTGATAATTTTTAATCCATTCAAATTGTTTAATATAAATAAAGGCCATAATCATAACTAATAGGGATGGGACGAAAAAAATTGGATGATGATGTGGTGGATTCATTATCTTGCCAATTGGTTTCTTATCGATTGGATAATTATTTTCAATGATTTGTTTTTGCATTAATTCATCATATTTGAAAATGTAAAAAAATTGATTATGAAATTTTCGATAATAGTTGAATTTCATCAACTTTTTCCACAAATTTATCTCTAAATCGAGAATTGCATTCATTGTTGTTGTTCACGCAGAGTGGTGCTACTTGGCGATTTTTCATCAATCGAATGCAGATCTGAAATGGATTCTAATTGAAAAAAAAGAATATTCTGTAGTATTCTTGTTAACTACATTTATTCAACTGAAATTAAAACGCATTTACATTCAACTCATCTGTTCGACTTGAGGTTCATCATCAATGAATTACACTACAATTCATTTTTTTGTCATGAATTAGAAAAAATTGAAAATTGCACTTTACACACGGACACACACACACACACACACACAGTTCAGGTGTGAGTTTTTCAACAAAAAAAAATTATCCTGAAAATTAACTAAAACTTAGGACTTTACTTTGAAAAGGTTTTATTTTTCTTTTTTTTAATAACAATAATAATATGGTTGTCTGCCACAATAACAGCAAAAATTATTGATTTAAAATTTCCATCTGTAATTAAGTTGCGAAGCCAAGAGTAGAATGGTACACATGAAATGGAACCTAGGATTATTTTTCAACAACGAATTTTAATCATCTTACGAAAAGACATAAATACAATAATAATGAAATACTAGCCCGGAACTGGCTCTTTGCCCCTCCTTCAGGCTAGCCTTGAGTTTCCCGCATCAAGTACCAAATTTGTTAATACACAATGCAAGCAGAGTGTAAAATTTGCAATTACCGACAAAATTTAAGCGTCATAATAGAATATATAATATAATATATAGATAGATAAACGAGCCGTTATACAATTTCAATTGATTATCAAAACAATACTATCAAAAATTGTTAAACGGATTACTATCGTCAGATTTATCAATTATCAAAAATGGAGAAATAAACATTGAATGGATAGAATCCAGTAATCAAATAGCTGATAACTTTACAAAGCCACTATCGGTTTCATAATCATTTTAAAACTGTTGCAAATTATTAAATGTTTTCGGGAGGGTGGGGAGTGTTAAAGTGAAAAACATTAATTAATTGTATTTTATTGTTTTAAACTAGAATATTCTAGATATATTCTAATTCTAATTTAAAACATTTTTATTGTATTACAGATAAATTAACATTAACAACATTAAATTTTAAATTAAAAAATACACACACACACACACACACACACACACACACACTGTTCAGGTGTGAGTTTTTCATTGTCAAAAAATTATTTTGGAAAATCTCATTAAATTTATGGCTTCTTTACTTTAGGTTTTCGTTTTCGTTTTCTTCAATAATAATAATAATAAATAAATATGGTTGACTGCCTACAATGAAAACAAAAATTATCGATTCAAAATTTCAAACAAATTATGTGCAATAATGATTTTAATGATGATAACAATAATAAAAATTTGAAAGAATAAAAATCCATAAAACGTTGATAAATTGATTTGAATAAAACCAGTGATTGTCATTGAATTGAATTTCAAACATTATTTATCCAATAGTGAAATGAATGATCGTTTTTTTCTGGAATTTTTTTTCAATTCTCGGTTATAACAATCGTCAATAAAGTTGTTGTGAAATGAGAAAGAAAAATGAAGTAATATTAAAGATGATGGTGATGAATGTATACGATGTAATAGTGGTGCCGTTTGTTAACCGGAAACCCAATGGCTGATTCCTCAATGTATTTGTTAACGAATCAAACTGTTTTTCACATCAATCAATCAATCAATAAATTGAATTAGATTATCATTTTGATTTATACCTTAAACAATTGTTGAATGGTGAAATTATTCTTATATTCACATGATGAATGAACAATATATTTATGTTTCAATCGTAATAATTTTTGATTATTATTACGAATTTTAGCACAGCCAATAATCAATTGAGATAATGTGGCAATCAATGCTAATGCAGCCATCATATATAGAAATTGATAAACAAATGTTTGTGGTATCATGAACAATAGATAAGATACATATGTTATAACCGCAGTGGACATTGTAAATATTACTGATATAAAACGTGATAATCGTTTGCTATTATCATCAATTTCTTTTTGTAATCGTTCAAATAATCGATGTTGTTTTATGAGAAAATTTTTAAACATTGGAATTCTTGTTGTCGGTCGTTTTTCCTTCAATCGATTATGATTACCATACATTAATAAACAATCATATGATTTTTGTATCGATTTCAAGAATGATTGTTGTCGCAGATTTAGATAGTATTGCATAATGAATATGAATGATGCAATATGATAGAATCCTTATTTAAAAAAAAAATTGACAGGAATTTAATTTTCAGTTTTTTTTTGTCGGAATTTTTTTTGCCTACCTGAACATATATGATATGACCATATATGCATAATGCATAGCCAGAATAATGTCCAAAACAATGATATTCGCCATAATGATTTCAATATTATAATCATAATCATTGCAATTAGAAACAGTTGACCAATCGAAAATATTAGATATCTTGCAATGAAAAATGACCAATCTCTAATCCATTCATAATGTTTTGAATCCTGTTCATTCATATTACGCCATTTAACATATTGAATTGGTAATAAAAATTGAAATTGTTCATAACTTGTTGATGTGGCATAAAATGCATTCAACAATGTGTTTATTGTACATAAAATTATAGCTGTCATCAGATATGTTAGACCATCAGCTGGAAATAATTTTGATAATACATCAAAACAATCATAATCATTAATCCATTTTGGTTGTTTGATCAATATGATCGATGCTAATGTGACCGTAATGTTTATTATGCCCAATAATAGATTATGAATGTATGGCCATGGAATTTTACCGAAAGGTTTCATCCGTACAACCTCATCATCATCATCATCATGATGGACATTGAATTTTCGTTGAATCAATTCATCATAATAGAATAGATAAAATATATGATTATGATATCTACGAAAGTAAAAATTTTTCATAAATTTTCTAAATAAAACAATCTCCAAATTCACTATTGAATTGATCATCATCATGTTATTGTTGTTAAATGTTTTCACCTGTAATGCACAAACAACATTGATGAAATGAACCACTGTTGTTGTTGTTGTTGTTGTTGTTTTTGTGTTTGTGTTTGTTTTGCGGATCAATTGATTTATACACAATTTTTTCTCTTTGATTTTTTTGTTGTCTATATTATTTTTTTTTATTATCATGGTTCCAAACGATATAATCCAATAAAAAGTGAAAAATAAAAAAATTTACGATTGTATCGATTGTTTTTTAAAAAATGAATTTTTTGTTTTCATATGTTTTCTCACATCAAAATAATGAATGTGTTTTTTTTTGTGTACAAATGTGTTTGTCAGGGCCGGCCCAGGCGCCTGTGCAGACTGTGCACCGCACAAGGCCTCGCGCTACTGAAGGCCTCGCGCTGCCGGAGGCAGCGCGGTTCCGGAAACAGCTCGCAGTCCCAAAAGCCTCGCAGTTCCAAGAGCCTCGTAGTACTAAGAGCCTCGCAGTTCCAAGAGCCTCGTAGTACTAAGAGCCTCGCGGTTCCAAAAGCCTCGCGGTTCCGAATTTTGGATGATTTAATAAAATGAAAATGTTTTTTGTTTTGATACATTTGAATATTATGGTAATCCTGAATCAAAAACATGTACTTCATCTAGTCAAATATCTATTAATAGTTGTGCGAATTGTTTGTAGTGGAACCAATATAGGAAAAATAAATAAACAAACAATGTCGATGGCTAAATATCTAACCTAGTAAGTGATAAATCATCAAAGGAAAATGAATAATGAATGCATTGCCTGACTTCTTTAAGATGGATTTATCAATAATTCCAAATTAAACCGATTTTCAATGGATCATGGATCATTTATCCCAAAAATTTGGTGACGAATAGGGTATGCACAATCCCGTTTGTTCACCAGTCGCCTCATAATTTAAATTCTTGTCTAAAATTCTAAAATCACAAATCAAAAAATTGACTGATTGATTGATTATTTAAATTGGAGAAACAATTAAATGAAAAATGTTGTGTCGACAAATTTCCAACAATCAACATCATAAGCGATTCCAGAAAAAGAAGTACAGTTGATTCTGTTGAATCAATATTCAAACAATTGGAATATATAAAACAACTTTCAGAAGAAATACTGGAAATCTTAGAAAAAGATTATTCGTTGGCGAAGCAAAAATATCCAAAGGATGATGATCCTTTTAAAGCTGAAAGCCAAAGAAAGATAAATGAAATGACCAGTTCAAAATCGGGAAAATAACAAGTCCAAACTAACACGACCAGTTCAGAATCGAGAAAATAACAAGTCCAAACTAACACGACCAGTTCAGAATCAAGAAAATGACAAATGTCCAAACTAACACGACCAGTTCAGAATCAAGAAAATGACAAATGTCCCAACTAACACGACCTGTTGAGAATCGAGAAAATGACAAATGTCCAAACTAACACGACCAGTTCAGAATCAAGAAAATGACAAATGTCCCAACTAACACGACCTGTTGAGAATCGAGAAAATGACAAATGTCCAAACTAACACGACCAGTTCAGAATCGAGAAAATAACAAGTCCAAACTAACACGACCAGTTCAGAATCGAGAAAATGACAAATGTCCAAACTAACACGACCAGTTCAGAATCAAGAAAATGACAAATGTCCCAACTAACACGACCTGTTGAGAATCGAGAAAATGACAAATGTCCAAACTAACACGACCAGTTCAGAATCGAGAAAATAACATGTCCAACCTAACACGACCTGTTCAGAATTGGGAAAGTAATCAATAAAGCATTGTCAACCAATGAACTGAACTGGTCGTGTTAGGTTGATTTGCCATTTTCTCGATTCTGAACTGGTCGTGTTAGTTTGACATTTGTCATTTTCTCGATTCTAGTAAATCTTTGAAAGAACAACTCTTTGCTATGCACTGGTGAAATATGTGTGTATGTATTTTTGATTTAAATGAAATAAAAAGATTAAATGTACGTATACGTATTTAACCCATTCACGACCAAGCGTCACACATGTGTGTGAGGCTCAAATTTTTCCACCATCTCAAATACATTTATCGAGAGCCACAAATAATCTTTTAAAGAGCCGCAGGTTGGCCGTTGGTTGCGGTTGGTTGGTTGGTTATAGTGATTTAGAATCAAAAATGACACAAAAATCTTAATGCACTTCAGAATAGAGATTGAAAAATTCTTAAAACAATTTCCTTTGTTGAACGATCATGGCAATAGTTTTACTTGGATTGAATGATTGGTAATGTTATTAATTTCATGAATCTGAAATTTTCAACGCATTTTATAATCAATTTATAGAAAGTCCAAATAAAATCTAAAATAACCAAAATAGAGTCGAGGTGACATTACTGATTCGAATGACGTTGATGATTTGATGATCATTAGAAAAAATTTAAATTGATTGATACAAGCTTTTGGAAATTTTTTCGGTCATAAATTGCTGCACAGACTTTATGAACGATCGCAGTTTTTTGCCAGTTGTTTTTTAGCGCGCTTCAAATTAACAATCAAGATTTTTAACGCTTCAAATTTTTTTTAAGCAATCATTTTTTGAAAATTCCTTAATTTTTTTAAGGCCTCGCGTTTTTCAAGTTGACTTTGCACAAGGCCTCGCGATTTTCCGGGCCGGCCCTGGTGTTTGTCATTGAAAATGTGAATGTTTGTGCAAAAAAAAAAAGTTGAATCGATTCATTCACATTCAATTTATTTAGATTCTGGATACAAAAAAAAAAATTGATTTTCTTTCATTTTATTTCATTTCAATTTACATTATGTGTTGTTTATGGTTGTCAATTGTTTTGTAGCAATAATATTCTGTGATATTAGAAAGAAAAATGTACTAATATTCACTATTACAGTGATGAATGTATATGATGTAATTATAACGCCATTTGTTAATTGAAAACCCAATGGTCTATCAAGCAATGTGGTGGTCAATGCATCAAACTATCAAATTAGTATAGTTTAATATATATATAAAGAAAATTAATTGACATTGTTAAATTACACTGTTATATTCAAAAAAAAAAAATAATAATAATTACCTTCAATAATTGATGAGTAGTGAAAATTTTCTTCTCACAAATGGACAGCATTAGACATTTTTGTTTTAAACGTAATAATTTTTCATTATTATTACGTACTTTAGCACAGCCAATAATCATTACAGATAATGTATTGATCTGTGCATGAGCAATCATACAATAAAGACATTGATAAATGAAACGTTGTTTAGTCATAAACAATAGATATGATGAATATGTTGTAACCATTGTTGACATTGCAAATATTATCGTTATATAACGTGACAATTGTCGACTATGTTCATCAATATCTTTTTGTAATCTTTCAAACATACGATGATGATGTTCAAAAAAATGTTTTAACAATGTTATCGATGTTATATGATTATTATTATAGGCAAACAATAATAAACGTTGCATTATTCTTAAAAATGATTGTTGTCGTAGATTTAGATAATATTGTAATATAAATATGAATGATGTAATATGCAAAAATGCTTCATTTTTTTTTTGTATGAAAAAGAAAAAATTTTGAAATTAAAATCAATAATGAATATTTAAAATCATACCTGAACCTGTATGATATGTCCAAATATACATGATAAATGGCCAAAATATTGTCCAAAATATTGAAATTTTCCATAATGATTTCAACATTATCATCATAATCATTGCAATTGCAAATAATGTACCGATCGATATTATTGCACATCGTGCTATAGAGAATACATAATCTTTGTTCATTTCATAACGACCGGAATCTTGTTTATTCAAATTACGCCATCGTTCATCGTTTATTGGTAATAAGAATTGAAATTGTTCATAACGTGTTGATGTTGCATAAAATGCATTCATCATATTGTTTATTGTACACATAACAATTGATGCTGATAAATATTTGATACCTTCTGTGGGAAACATTCGTGTTAATATACACAATGAAACATAATTTCGTATCCATTGTGGTTGTTGTATCATCAGAATAGAGACCAATGTGACCAAAATTGATGTTAATGCCAATAGAATTTTATTCTTATGTGGACGTACAATTCTGCCCATAGGTTTCACATGAACGTTATTGATTAACATGAATTTTCGATGAATTAATTCATCATAATAAAATAGATATAAAATCTGATTATGAATAGTTCGATAATACGTATTTTGCATTAGATTTTTCCATATTTTTATTTCAAAATTCAATATTGTAGCCATTTTTTGTGGTTTTTTTTCTCGTAATGATGAATGTTGTTTCAATTAATGTTAACAACGAAATGAAATTATATAAATCATTTTAATGATTATGTTGAATTGGGTCGAGTGATTATGTTGAATTGAATGCAATTTAAATAATAAAAAATCTTTCCCCTTCCATATTCTTGAAAATGTTTTTGTTTTCGATTGAATCAATCAATTTTTTTAACAAAAAAAATGATTTTAATTTATTCAAAACAAATAAAAAAGCAAATGAATCAAACCGGATCCTAATCGTTTTGGTTGTCTCATTGTTCATTTTGTAATTTAAAATGAAATGCAAGAAAAAAAAAATTCCATTATGTTTTGTTGAGTTTGTAACAAAACAAACACAGCATTTCTCTATATCGGGAAATCAAACAGATTGATTGATTATTACAAATTGAATTTTGTCCACATATTCTTATTATCAGACAAAAATTAGTCATAGATTTAGGATTTTTTTTTTATTTGAAATTTTTTTGTCGTTGTTGACTGACTGACTGACTTGATTTATAAATAACACATAATTGTTAGTGCCCTTGACAGAAGCCAGATGATAATAATATTTTAAATTAACAAAAAAAAAAGAAATAAAGAAAGAAGAAATAACAGGATAAGAAAATTTTTTGTTGATCATCATCATCAGGATTCACACATGATTCACCTTTTCATTATATTTTTTTTCGACAAAAATTGATTTTTTCTGTTCTTTTTAAGTTTATTTTAATATTTTTTCAACAAACACAATTGCATTTTTGATTTTCCATTTTTTTTCTTTGCAAAATAAGGAAATCGTCATTTTTGTAGAATATATTCTATGAAATAAGAAAGAAAAAAGTACTAATATTGAATAGAAATGTAACAAATGTATATGATGTGATAATCACGCCGTTTCCGAGCTGAAAACCTGATGGTCGATTCAATTGAATACTAGTTATTGTTTCAAACTAATTTCAAATGATGAAAAATTGATTAACAGTAAAAAAAGCAGAAATTCACAATATCTTACCTTAAATAATTGATAATTATGAATAAATTTTCGTTCACATGTCGACGATAATGTTAAACATTTACGTTGTAATCGCAATATTTTTACGTTATTCTGTTTAATCATATTGCAACCAATGATCAATAATGATAATGTCACATAATGTGCATGTGCACCAATAATGTATAGTGATAGAAATATAAAATTTTGTTCTGTCATCAAGATCAGATAAACTAAATATGTTATTAAAACCGTTATTAAAGTGAAAATGACCGATAGATAACGTTTTAATTGTTGGTTATAATCACGAATTTCACGTTGTAACATAGCAAATGATTGATAATGATGTCCAATTATTTGTCGCAAGTAATAATTGACGAAAATTTTGATGAATCCTCTGTTTACGCTCATAACGTAATAATCGTCCATAAAATCGTTGTAATCTACGACCATGTGATTTTTGTCGCAAATTTAAATAATATTGGACCATAAATATTATCCATGATATATGATAAAAGCCTTTGAATTAGGAATAATAAATAAAAATGAATCGATTAATGTGTTCTCTTACCTGCAATTGAATTAATTGCCCATATTTGCAGAATAAACATCCAGATAACTGTCCAGAATATCGATATTTGCCATGATGGTTGTAGAATAGTCATTGTTATTTTACCTAAAAGAAACATTATGCAAATGGTTAATGATCCTATACGAATCATTGAAAATACACGATCTCTAATCAATGCATATTTATTGGAATCTTTTGTGTTCAATTCACGATATCTTCGATGTTGTATTGGTAATATAAAATAGAAATTTTGATAATATCGAGATGATGAATAAAAACCATTCAATAAACCATTTAATGTCCATATAATCTCTGAGGTCATTATATAATGTAACCCTTCTTTGGGAAATAGTCTAATCATTGTTTGATAAAATTGATAATTTTTAATCCATTAAAATTGTTCAATATAAATAAAAGCCATAATCATAACTAATATGGATGGTATGAAAAAAATTGGATGATGATGTGGTGGATTCATTATCTTGCCAATTGGTTTCTTATCGATTGGACAATTATTTTCAATGATTTGTTTTTGAATTAATTCATCATATTTGAAAATGTAAAATAATTGATTATGAAATTTTCGAAAATAGTTGAATTTCATCAACTTTTTCCACAAATTTATCTCTAAATCAAGTATGGCATTCATCATTGTTGTTGTTGTTCACACAGAGGGGTGATACTTGATGATATTGGTGATGGTGATTGTTCATCAACCGAATGTAGATATGGAATTGATTTTCATTGAAAAAAAAGAATGAAGAATATTCATTTTTTTATTGTCACGGATTAACGATTCCACTTCACACACACACTTTGAATCACGAAAATCAATTGATAATAATAATAATAATTTTATATTTACTAAAAGCACGTTGTTCCATTTGAGTATTTGCGTTACAAAAGATTAATACAAATTTTTTTATGACTTTATTTTGAAAAGATTTTTTTTTGTTTTTTTTTCTTTCAATAATAATGATAATCAGGGCCGGCCGAGGCGCCTGTGCAGACTGTGCACCGCACAAGGCCTCGCGCTGCCTTCGCCCTTTCCGCTGTACAACACAGGGCCTCGCAGCTCCAACTTTTCAAGCTATTTTTGCACAAGGCCTCGCGATTTTCTCGGCCGGCCCTGATGATAATGATGATATATGGTTGACTGTTACGATTAAAAAAAACGAATAAATGATTTAAAATTTCGACACGATCGAAAGAAAAGAAAAACATTATGTTTACTATTTCAATCAATAAATAATGAATTATCCGATCGGTCGATAAATATATTTAGTAGAAAGAATTCAAAATTGTAATGAAAAATTAATCAATTTCTTTGTTCATTTATCTTATTTGCATAAAAATTGAAATTGATCTATCCATTTGGTAAAATCTTACGAAATAAAATCCGGTTTCTGACTCCAAAAAAAGAATGGTTTGATAGTTTCAAATTTCCAAAAATAAATTAGTCGTCATTTTCAAATGAATGAAAAAAAATAAAAATAAATCAATTGTTACACATCGATCCACTGTATGGCGTTTTTATTATCAATTTTTTTTGCTAGTTTGGTTGCAACATTTTCAAAATTTTCTGCTTTCAATATTTGCAATCAAAAAAAATGGCTCAAAAATCTATCAAGACCGGAAAAAAGAATTTATTCAATTAACCATTATGTCTATTCTGTTTTTCTTTGTGTTGAAAAAAATAATAAAAAAAAAAAATTCATGAATCGGAACAATGGTCGATATTGTTGAATGTAAACGCAAAAACTCCCGGATTCCATTATTTAATCGATTTTTTTTTCAAAATTTTTTTTCGTTGGCCGATTTCAATTCAATTTTTCGTTAACGATCGATTGGTCGATCAATCGATTAAAAGTTTTAGTAGCCGGGTGTATGTTTCAGTTAATTTTTTTTTTTTCAATTTTTAAGACTTTTTTCGTTAATCTTTTTAAATTTTTCACATTCAAACACAAAATGAACAAAAATTATTAGGAAAAAATATCATTTTTTTATTGATTCACATATATCGTATTTCGTCAGTCTGTGTGTGTGTGTGTGTGTGAACAGAATCGAATAGATTTGTTGTTTGTTTGTTTTTTCATGCACATTCAAATGATAAAATGTTTTTGTTGAAATAAAAGAATGATGATGATGTTGATGCAGTGAATGATGAATAAATTCCAATCACGAAATGATTCGATTAATCATTCAAAGTTAATAGGTTTGTAGTTAAATTTTGTATTATCGATGAATATATTTTGAAAAAAGAAAACCAAATGGCAACAAATAATGAATTTTTTTCGATATCATCATCAATATAATGATCCTCTACGTTTATCATAAACTTCACGTACTAAATCATTCAATTCAAGTGCATCATAGCCAATAATTGATTTAAGATCGCATACAAATTTATATACGAAACGTTTACCATGTACTTTAGCAATCATATCACCATCATAATAATAACGTAATGCTCGTGATAATTTTTCATAATTCATTGTTGGTTTATTTTTACGTTGTCCCCATAATTGTGCAACCATTTCTGGATTACATAGTTTGAATTCACTTTCGAAACCAGTCCATTGAATAAATTCACGATAATCAGCATCGGTTAATAATTCAAGTAAAAATTGCCATAATTGAATCTGGCCATTATTACCAGAACGATTACCAGGTGAAACAACTGCCGGTGAATTGACCGAATGATTTTTAAGGCCACCAATCAAACGTTTTGGTTGAATTGATTCACGTTTAATCTGTTTTGATGGTCCACTTGATGGTGTAGATGGCATCATATCACCATCATCCTGATCCATACTATCGGCATTTTCATGTGGTTTCAATATATCAATAATTTCTATACGTTTATCATCCGGTTGTATGACCAATTTTATATTGATCAATTGTGTTTGTTGTCGTGCACCTTCCACCAATTTACATTGTGATATTATCGATGTTTGGCTTTCTAATTTTAATCCTTGTAGAAAAAAATCAAATTCATCCAAATTGATATTCTGATCAACAATACGATTGGTTTTTAGACATTCCAACACTTGTACAGTGGTTGCTTCAATATCGATTCCATCGATGGTTATAACACGACGATCATCATCATCATCATCATATTCTTCTTCTTCAGAATTGATAAAATCTTCCAATGTTTCCATATTCATTGAATCATAATCAATTTTAGGCATTTTATTGAAATCGTTTTCGTTGTTATTAGTTATTGTTGTTGTTGTTGTTATTATTATTCAATTTGTTTATATTCGATGTTAATTTGGCCATCAATTTTCAAAACAAAACAAAACAAAAAAAACAGGATTTTGTTCTTCAATTATTTCGTTTGACAAAAAACGAAATTAAAAAAAAAAATTTCACAATATAGCTAATAAACAGAAAAGAAAAACATTGAAAAGATTGAATGAAAAATCAAAAAACAGGAAATAATTATCAATCAATCATAAGCATTTTGTTCAATTCAATAAAATGTGATAATGATCAATCAATTTAATTTAATTTTTTTTTTTTTTTTTGAAGAAAAACGAAATACACAAGAGAAACACAATGAGAGAGAGAGAGAAAAAAAAAATGTGTGTGTGTTTTGTTTGTTTGCTCAGCTCAATCGTTGTAGTGGCGTAGTCACACTCACAGTGTTTTATATACAAACATGTGCTTTTGGCATAAAGCTTGTTCCAGTACCGTACATATAGTACGTGTTGAAATGAAATGAAATTCTTTTTTTTTATTCTTCTTTATTTTAATGATGATGATGATTCAAATTGGAACCATTTGATGCTAAAATGATTTAAATTTTTTTTTTACATAATGTTTTATCATTTATCATTTTTTTATGGGGAAAAAAAATTTTTTTTCTCATAACTTACGTTTTTTTTTTACCAATTCGAATATGTAAAAATTCCATGGCAATATGATAAATGGTTTTTTTCTATGTTGCTGTTCCACCCGCTGTCCAATTTTTTTTCTGATGATCATGAAATCGGATCGTGAATGTTGAATAGATAATTGTTCCAATATCCCGGGTATCGTTAAAGTGTGTATGTGGCGTGTCTACTGAGAATCGGAAACTAAACTGCTGTAGTTTCTGTGCACAACAACAACAACAACAACAACGACAACGCATCATCATCATTGACTTTTTTTTTGTCTATTTCCTGTATTATTATTTTTCACCACTTCCCAATTTTGTTTTATTTCACTTTTCTTTTTCCTGCTACTACTACATTTATTTCGGTTATGTTCCTAGCATTTTTTAAATATATATATTTAGTAGTGGTCGTTTTGTTGTTGTGTATAACAGGAAAGCCAACAACTTGGCACAAGAAGAAGAAAAAGATGTGCGCACAACATTTCTATATACAAAAAAACAACAACAACAGGAAACCGATTTTATACGATTTACGTTTGACTACTATAAAACAACACTTCCGATAGCCGATTCTTATCGTGTTGATGATGATGATGATGATGATGATGACCACCACTACAGAATCGTGAAAATTATTATTATTTTTTTTATCATCATTCAAAAAAACGATAACGAAAAAAAAAGAAGAATGATGATGATGATAATATTCTAAAATTCATAATAAATTATAACTACTACTACTATGGTATATAAATATATGATGATGAAATATGATTCGTGTAATATATATACATTTAACATCTATAATGTGATGTGGTCCAAAATGATGTGTGTGTGTGTGTTCGTTTTCTCTTTTTTTTGGACATTTGAGACAATTTATTACCATGATTATTTTACACATATTGCACACACACACCCACCCACAGCACATATGAAAAAAAATTTTACGCGCGCAGTATTTAATGATGTGAATTTGTATTATTTTTTTTCCATGTATGCACATGTGTATAATGATGATGATGATGATGATGGTGGTGGTGGTGGTGGTGGTCATCACCATTGGTAGGAAATAAAATCGATTTTTTTTTGAAAAATTGATCATGACCGTATAATGAAAAAATGTGACACACACAGAAAAATATTTCATTTTTTTTTTGAATTTATTGAAAAAACAAACAAACAACAGATTGATAGATTTTTTTTAAATCATCATAATAATCATAATCATAATAATCGAGGTTTGTGTTCATGTGTGTATGGCAAAATGACATTTTGCTTTTGTTTTCACGTCCGTTACTCAAAAACACTTTCCATTCACATGTGTGTGTGTGTGTATAAAGATGTTATCATTGATTTTTTTTTCATATCAAAACTTTTATGTTTTGTATAGATGATTATTATGGTAAATATATATAGTATATATTCAGTATGGTCACCGGCCTATTTCATATCATTTCATGGTTATGTGGATATACATTTTTTTCGTGAAAAACACGCCATTATACTATCAATTTTTTTTTTGGCCGTTGTTTGTCATTTTTCGTTTATCTATCTTGAGCTTTTTTTCAGTGTTTTGTGTGTGTTTGTGCGTCTGTGTATGTATGGGTGTGTAATCCCCTCTCCATCTCCCTCGATGAATTTCGAATAAATTATTCAAGTTGAATAAAACAAAAAACAAATCGATCCCAATCGAAAAACTGATCACTAAGATCGATCAATAAGATTGAAATTGATTTTTTTTTTTTTTTCATTCTCTCATTCGTTGGATTTGACAAAAATGATTGTTTTTTTTCTGTGGAGTTTTTTAAAATCTTTTGAAATTTTTTTCATTATTTCGATCATTGACGACCACCACCATCTATTCTATTGGATGATCTAATTTTATATATTCATCACAACATTCAGACAAAAATCATTTTATTCAAAAAAAACAGAAAACAGAAAGAAGAAAAAAAGAAAATTTAATCGAATCAGATCAGATTATTATTATGTAATGTGGAAAAAAATCAATCACAAACATTGTGAAATTGGTTTTTTTCATCCTCTCTTTCTCCCACACATACACAGGGAGCGAGAAGTTTCTTTGAATTTCCTAAAATCCGATTTGATTTGTTTGAAATCAGAATAAAAAGAATAGAATGGAAAAAAAATTTTTTCGGATACATGGATTATGATGATTACAGCGATTTATATAGATTGAAATTATGAAATAATTTCTTTTTCATCATCTGCAAATGACGATCGATGTAATCGTGGAATCGATGGAAATCAAAGCAAAGCAAAACGAAAAAAAAATGCTGAATGAATGAATTTGTATGGAAAAGAAAATCCTCTTACTACTATTATGGATAAAATGTCCAACGCATCGGATTTTTGGTTGTATTCGATTTGGCATCGATGAATTTCATCACCATCATCATCATTATACACTACATAGACCAATAAACCACCCACACTTGAAAATAACAATTTCTTTGTAAAACATGGTGAAAAAACCACAAATTTTGTTTGTAATAATAATAATTTTTTTTTTTGAAAACAGAATGTTATTTGGTAACCAAACACACACACACACACACACACACACACACACACACACACACACACACACAAACAGTGTAATAACAATAAAATGTATCAAAATCATTATTATTCTTGTTCGTGATTTATTTCCATCATTCCAATTTTTTTTGATTGTTATTGCCCGTTAAATTAAACACACACACACACACACACAAACGCACAACTTATGAATTGATTATAAATCAAAATTTTGTTGTTGTTGTAAGAAATTCATATGATGATGATCGTGGGTGATATATATATATAAATTGAATTTTCATCAATAAAAATCACAGTTTTTCAATCATAAATAATAATTAAAGCAATCGATGATGATGATGATGATCATCATATGAGTAATCGAATGGCAATAAAAATAAAAAAATCTTTCAACTTGATTAGTTTGAATGTTTTCTCATTTGTTGTTGTTGTTGTTGTCGTTTTTATTGTTATTGTTATTTTTTTTCTTCTGTATCAAAATTCATTATTGCCGGTTTTTTTTCTCTTTACTGCATCTGCTGCTGCTGCTGCCTGTTGTGCAATTTGATTTGATGAAATTCTTTTTCACCGATTCATTCATTCATTCACAGCAACAACAACATTGACAACATGATCGATATTTATTTTTGGTGATGCACCGATAAACATACACACACACACGCACATGATTTCTCCGTAATTATTTGTAAATCAATTTTCTCATCATTTTTTTTTAAATTTATCATTTCTTTATTCTAGGATGAATAATGTCAACGAATCGAATTGATTTGATGATTTGATTGAATCAATGGATCAATTTTACAATGACTTTATCATCATCATTATCATCATTCACATCATTAATATCAAAAAATCTATACGATTCTACATAATTCTTTTGGAATTCTATCAATTCATCACTAACAACAACAACGGCAACAATGTCCACAACATCAACATTATCAAATCAACAAATTTTAGATCTTTTAAAACAATTACAACAAAGATCAACAACAACATTGATGAATCCAGTAAACAATCAATCGTTGATAAATTCATCGATAATACAGCAAACAATATTGAAATCAATTTATCCAGATCATCAATTTAATAATAATTTCATAAATCTAACTGATGATCAATTAATTTCACGTATATCATCAATCATTATGAATCAATCTGGATCATTTGATCATAATTTTGATTTATTCAATCATGCATTGAATGGCGACAACAATGGATCATTATCATCAGGATCATCAACATCATTTGATGAACAATTTTTAGGCATCGATAATGAAGATTTTATTGATAATGAACAAGAGATACCATTAAGTTTATGGATCAAAATCATATTCTATGTTGTTTATTTAATCATTTGTTTGCTAGGCATTTGTGGTAATCTAATTGTTTGTTATATTGTTGCACGTAAATCTACAATGCATACAGTGACCAATGTATTTATTGCCAATCTTGCATTGTCCGATATTCTATTATGTTTATTTGCCGTACCATTTACACCATTATATTTGATAACATTTAAAAATTGGATATTTGGCCGTGCACTTTGTCATCTAGTACCATTCGCTCAAGGTAAAAATATTAATATTTCATTTGTTGATTATTTATTCATTTTTTTGTTTTGTTTTGTTTTCAAATTTTTTCTCCATCTAGGTGTATCCGTATACATTTCAGCATTTACATTAATGTCGATTGCCATTGATAGATATTTTGTCATTTTACATCCATTTAAACCACGAATGTTAATGAAAATCTGTATAATGATCATTATTGCTATTTGGATGTCGGCAATATTTTTAACATTTCCATATGCACATTTTATGGATTATGTAGAAACAACCAAACTGGATCAACGACCATCATCATCATCATCATCATCATCATCGGAAGAGCAATTGATGGAATTGAATGATAATGGTGAAATTATCGATATTAAAACCATAGATAATAATAATGATGATGATGATAGTGGTGATGGTGATGGTGATGGTATTGTTTATCTTTGTGCTGAACAATGGCCACATGAAGAATTAAGTAAAATGTTTGGTATAACCACTACGGCATTACAATTTGTCATTCCTTTTTTAATAATAACATTCTGTTATGTGAAAATATGTGCCAAATTAGCTGATCGTGCACGTACCATTCCAGGTAATGTTTCAGCCAGACGTGAAGAACAGGAACGTGAACGTACACGTAAAACGAATGGTATGCTTATATCGATGGTAGTCATATTTGTTATTTCATGGTTACCATTGAATATGGTCAATTTATTGGCCGATTTTTATGATGAAGCTAGTCATTGGCGTAATCAACGTGCCATATTTTTAATATCACATGCTATTGCAATGTCATCGACATGTTATAATCCATTTTTATATGCATGGTTAAATGAAAATTTTCGTAAAGAATTCAAAGAAGTGTTGCCTTGTTTTGGTCGTAGTACGAAAACAAATCATTCATCTAATATTGTTGGCGCTGGTAGTGGCGGGGGCGGTGTCGGTGGTGGTACACTAGTTGAATTACGACAAAATAATCAAACGAATAATGACAACGACCAAACTGATAATACACAACAAGCTATTAATGTTAATAATTCTTTAAATTGTCCATCAGTTATTTTAGCTATGAATGAAAATCATCAAAATCATCATTCTCATTCAAATCAATCAATTAATTCATCTAGTAAAAAATTAGTAATGAAACTTTATTCAAAAGATGATGGTTCCAATACACATTGTAAAATATCTATTAATCATAATCAAACTACCGGTAATTATCATCATCATCATCATCATCATGGTATAATTGATTCGATTAATAATAATAACGATGAAGAAGAAGAAGCGAGGCAGGTATCTATTATTATTGCAACAAAAAATTATTATTATTATTGATTTCTCAAATAATTTTTCATTTTTCTCTGTTTTCTTATCATTCAAATTCTTTATTAGACTTTAATATCGAAAAATGAAAAACATTTACGTTATGATTCTGGCCGTGGACGAGAATCAATCAGTGCCATACAAAATAGTAGTAACAGTAGTAGTGGTGGTGGTGGTGGTGACGGTGGTTGTGGTGGTTGTGGTGATGGTGGTTCTTCAAGTAATATTACTGTTACTACAAACCGTTCCGATTGATCATATTTGAATCAAAGATTGTTTTGTTTGTTTGTTTGTTTTTTTTGTCGTTGTTGTTGATATCATTAATATCATGTTATTATTTGTTATATCATATCATCAAATGCAATTGAAAATAAAATCTATCTATCTATATATTATATAAAGAAAAAAAAATTTGACCATTCAAACATTTATTTTTCAAATTGTCCATTAGTTCTTTGCTCTGTTAATAGATGGCACTGCACTTCACATAAATTAAAATTAAATACCGGCAATTTTCGCACACAATTATCACTGAAAAAAAATGATTGACAACTGTTGAAACTGATAAACAATGCATTTTATTGGATAAAATAAATTTCTGTTGGTTAATAATCATATTTCAAGGTAGGTGTGTGTGGATGCGGATTTTCAAACAGAAACTTCTGGTTTATACATAAATGAATTACAAATAACACAATCATTATCATGACATTCAATTGAACGTTCAAGAACACCGGCAAGATTATGTAATTCACAAAGGGCAACATTTTTATCTTGTGCAAATATTGTATCATCTTTTGAACAATCAATTCCATTCAATTCATTCATTAAAATGGATATTTCGTGATCTAATTCTTTATATACACGAAATTTATGTTCCGATTTATAATGCATAATACGTGGTCGTAATAATTCAATTCGTCGTAAACAATGTTCAATGATTGGATGTTCTGAACGTATTCTTGATGACATATTTATATAGACAGGATGTTCAATCGTTGTTATTTCGTCCACAGATTGTATTGGTGATAATCTTTTCGTAGAAAATGATGATGATTGTTGTTGATTCATTGAAGGAGTCGAAGTGTAAAAAGCTGAAGCATTTATAGGAATGAATTCGGCATTCGTTGTATTGTATGAATTATCACCACCATCATTTTCATCATCATCATCATCATTAACTATAGCATATTTAGCACGTGCTACCGTATAAACGGGACGTGACGCAGGTGGAATCATCATTCCATTTAATGTGACCAATACACGTGTTGGTGATGGAATCGATGTAGACGTTGTAATTGTTGTTGTTGTTGTCGTTGTTTTTTGATCATATTTATTCTGTTGTAATTGTGATGTTGATTTTATTTTTCCAATTGGTGATAGATTTAATGTTTTAGGTCTTGTTTGTTTGGCCATTGTTGTTTGATCATGATGTAATAATGCTATTGCATTTGGTTTATCAACAGTATCAGTATTGGTCATAGGCGGCTGTGGTGTTTGTGGTAACGGTGGTGGTGGTGGTGGTGATAATGATTGATTATTATAATCATCATTTATTTTAAATGAATCCAATTTGGCCAATATACGATCACCAATTTCAACAACATGTTTATTCTTTTTACCATCACTAATATCATCATCATATTCATTTTTAAATTCTTTTTGAATCAAATTTAAATTTGTTCGTATACTATCCAATTCATCGGCAATTTCATTATATCTGGTAATATAACTGTCGATTTTATTTTCCAAACGGCTAAGTCTAGTGAAATCATCAACATCATTGAAATAATCTTGTTTTCCTATAGATTTTTTTTTTGTTGAAAAAAATAGATTTTTAAAATCATAAACAATATATATAATTGAATGGATCATTCAACTTACTTGGATCATTTGTACTATAATTTTTATTAATTTTTGGTCGAATTTTTCGTTGATTATACGACAATGATCTTCCATGTGTATTGAAATCATCGGGCAATGCTGAATCTTTATTAACATGTGTAATTGTTCGTTGTTTATGATGGCCAGATGGTGTAGAACCTGGTGGACCATAACCAGGACGTCTATATTGTTGTTGTTGATGATAATGATGATGGTGATGGTGACGAGGCGGAGGTCCGCTGTGAATTTAAAAAAAAATCATGAATTCTTGATTTTAAAAAAATTCTTTTACCATCACTCACCTTTTAGAACGTGGTGATTTGTATAGAAAATCAAAAACACCCATTTTTTTCATACAAAAATTTTTTCAAAATGAATGGAAAATTCTCGTTTACAAATATAATGATGATCGGGTGATTTCATTTTCATTTTTTCTCATTCATAATTGATAAGAGATGATTGTTTGATTTGATTTTTTTTTGCATGGATTTCAACCAAAGCAATATAGAGAAAGATAGATTGTCGCTAGGTGAAAACAGGTATGTGTCGATGGATAATAATAACTGATGATAAATCAATACAACACACACACACACATCAACAACAATCTAATTGCATTTTTGCTTTCATAAATATAAACTGTTGTGTGGTATGCAAAAAAAACAACACCCATGAAATGATATTTTTGTCGTTGTCGATAAATTTGCCGAAAAAGTAAACTCAATCCAATCATCAAACCGTTTTGATTGTAGAGATCAGTATGGTATGATGTCTATCAATCGAGAAATATATTTGTGTTTCTGCCGTTACCATTATCGTTATAATAAATGAAATGATCGTCTTGGATACTGGTTAGTTCCATGATTACGATATATCCATATCATGTATTGTTATTGTTTACATTGAAGTTATAATCGTTTTTGTTTTGTTTTTTTTTTTTGGGAATTTCATCTGATTTTTGGTTGAACATTTCCGCTAAGCAACATATTGAATTTGTTGTATTTTTAATAAATAAAATCGAGGTCATCATTCAATGTTGTTGATTATTATTATTAATTGCTATGGTTGATTGTTGATTGATTGATGTGGTTTGTTTGGATTTCATAGTCATCATTAATCGTTGCTGTACATTACGGTTATTATGACTACCATTCCGTTGTCTATCAACATATTGACGAACCAATTCCAGTTGGCAGATTAATTTTGCACCAATTTTTCTTGAACGTGATGTATCCAATACTAGATAGGCTAATAATTGTTCAATACAAGGTGATTGACAATGACCCAAATGAATCATTGCTTCAAGTAGATTGAATGAAATGAATTGTAAAAATTTCGGTGCATCTTCACGAAGATTCAATAATATTTGTTCCATCAAGGAAATAGGTACTAAAAGCCATGGACTAAATTCATATTCAAATGATTGTTCCATAATAAATTGAAATAAATGCACTAATTCAATATATAATGGTTCTTTTAGTATCCATTGATAATCAGTTGTATCAGAATCAATAGAAAATGACCATGAATTTTCATCAATTGGATTGTCACCAACATCCATCGGATTGCCATTACCATTGGTTACTACATTTTGATTGGAGGAATTTGATTGATGTTCACGACGTTTATAATAGAAAGCCGTATTTTCCAATAGATTGTCATTCAATTCTAATGATTCATCTGGATAAAGTTCATGAATTTCCTATATTGCAGAACAAAACAGAAAAAGTTATTATAAAATTGAATCATGAATCTAAGATACTTGCCTGATAATTATGTCGATGTCCAGTACGTTTTTTCATATTAAACTGTGAAAATTTCACCAATTGTTCCAATGCTGAATACGTGGTTATTACTGTCAATCGAATCAATGCACTGATTATTGGTTCAGTCAAATGTAATTCATTTGATTTTGATAATAAAAATTTCGGTAACGTGTGACGAAGTAATACCAATGCACATTGTTCAAGATCAATATGAAATAGACCATATGCTAAATCAACGCTGTCCTGAAGACAGACGACAGTTTTATCGCAGAAATTGAATAAATATCTAAACACTTGTGTAACGAACCATCTAGGACCGCCCAATGAATAAAGGCCATCAAAATCATAAATTAATTTCAATGTAAAATGTTTACGAGTCATATGTAAACATTGATCAAGCATTGTATTCAAAGGAGATTTCGATAAACGTATTGGTAATGTTGTGCCGGTTTTCGTTGGAGAATTATTCATCGTTGACAATTTTGTATGCGGTACATATTTAGTTAATAAACGTTTCAATGTAGTTGACATTAACAGGAATCGTTGTTTATAACCAAATGCTAGATTCGTTTCATTGGCATCATTGGAAAATGATTCCGTACTGGAATTTATCATCGATGTTGATGGTGTTTGTAGTTCCTGTAACATCATCATTATTTTTGATTGATGTTCAGCCGATATTGTTTCAAGTTTAGCAAATAACCAACAAGCAGCCGACAAGCCTAATGAACATAGCCGAGATTTAAGACGATCGATAAATATACGAACATCATCTTCAGTGATTTGATCATGTATCCATGCATTCAATATTTCGGCAGTTGCAAATTGTGCAGCAATACACATTTCATCCCAACTAACTAATGATGTACGAAATTCAGTCATATCATTTGTGGTGATTAATTGTGGCAAAAGATGTTCATATTTACTCTCATCTTTATATGAACTTAATATAACATTCGGTGCATAACAGGCATTTGTTGATGGAATATTCCAACGACACCAATTGATAAAAAATGATGAATTTGAATTATCCGATTGATTATTTGTCGAATTTGATTCAAGAAGAACATCTGAACGATATTGTTCGATTAGTGAACATAATGATATGAATGTTATATCAAATATTACGGCACGTATCTGTGATGAACGTACATTTTCACCACGTGATACAATATTCGAACGATTTAATTCCATTAAACGTTGAGCAAATTTTGGTAAAAGACCATTTGATGCAGCAGCACAAAGAATAACATCGAATGAATGTTGCATACGACAAATAATACCGGCAACTTCTTCAATTTTACAATTTTCCATATACAATGGTGCCAATATTGAAGTGACTGTATGTTCAGCACGGAATATGAGAATATTTGATGATAAAGCATCCAATGATGATGATGATGATTGTTGTTGGCTATCTGTTTGTTGTTGTTGTTGTTGTTGATCACTACCAGTATCATTATTATATAAATTATTTTGCATTGAATCATTAGATGCTGATAATGCCATACGATTAATTTCACGCATATAACGATCAACTGATGTAGCAGATAATAGATTCATTTGAGGTTCTTTAAATGAATCGAATAATTTTTGCAAATGTTCAGTTTTATATCGAAGTAAAAATTGATCAATACATGGTCCCAAATCCATCAACATATCGATACCAGATTCAAGATCTGAATGATGATGATTATCCACCACTGATGATTGATCTTCTGATTGAAATCGAATTTCTTTCCGAAGTTTAATACGATGATGTGATAGTTGTAAAAATATCTGCGGTATTTTAAACAATAAGAATGCAATCCAAGCATGATAATTGATATTTTTACGATCTTCATTGGCCAGATTATGTGTATCGATAAGACCGACTAAGCATGTATGTAATATTTCACAATAAAGTTTTGATAATGATAAATCAAATGAACGAGCAATAATGGCTAAATAATTGGCAATCAATTCATTGGAACATGATGGATCTAGAATAGCGTAGAATGATACAACAATACGAATAGAATGATGTGATAATGGACGATATTGGATATAACCAAATTCTGGACGGGTTGTCATCATTTGATAGACGACTGGAATGATTGAATTTGTTATTTCCGTATCTAATGGTTGAATATTTGGCTGTTTTTTCACGTTCGTATTGGTAATACCATCATTCGAAAGCCATTCGATTTTGGTTTGAAATGCTTGAATTGTATCAAAAATTGATTTAATCGATGATGATGATGATGATGATGATGACGATTGAGACATTTGTTGTTGTAGTTTCATAATCAATTCATTATGTAATTGTATACATTGTTTCCAAACCGTTTGTTCTTCCATTCGACCAATATAAAGTAATGCTTTTAAATATGATGAATCAATAATAAATCGAAGCATTTGACATGATTTATCCATAATTAGCCAATGAATATTATCAATTGTTAAAATATTTGTTGGGTCCAAATTTGATCCAAATTCATGATTTAATTCATTCAATGAACTAAGAATAATCGAATGTAACCAATGAACAAATGTTACCAGTGAACGACAAAGTGCAATACATTCATCATCATTTCCATAACAATTGGTACGTGTTTTATAACGGATAAGAAAATCTAATAATGAATTCATACATTGTGGTTTGAGATCAGGAATTTTAGTTATGGCCATAATACATGCACCAAACGATATGATTTGAGAATCAAGACAATGATTCAGATAAAGCATCAATAAACTGTTCGTTACAGGGCCATTTATCGCTTGCCGTAGCATACAATCGGCCAGATCATATACATCGCCCGAAACACCACGTAATAAACGTTTAATTTCACGACCCCATTCAATTTCGGTCCATCGTTCACGCCAAGCACGAAGTAATAGATCTTTGATTTTAAATGATGTTGACGTTACTGTTGAACTTGTATCCATCATCATTGTGATAACCATGATGTTTAAATGATGATTCAAAATATCAAAAAAAAGCGGGAAAAATTTAAAATTATCAATAATCAAAACAAATCTTGTCTTCAAACCAATGTTGTGAGCCGGCAACATTTAATTTTGTATGGCTCAAAAAATTTTTTTGTTTCGAATCGTCGTCTATGAACGGTCACAAATTGGCACGTGTGCTTGTGTTCACAATGTGAAGCTGAGTTTTTCCTTTTTCCTGAATAAACAGCCGCGTGTGTGTTTGTGTGGTGTGTCTGTCTTTTGTTTTCGAATTTTTGATTCAAACTTTTTGACTTTTTTGGATATTTTTTTCGAAAAAATTTAAATTTTTAACAATGTCTGATATCAAAAAATCATCATCAAAACAGCCTGTCACGTCGGATGGCAAAAACGTGTGAAACGAAAACGTGTATCGAATCCAGCTACTCCTGGACGGTAAGTTTGCTGTTTTTTTTCCACTTGATTCCATAAATTTTCTCCTTTTTTCCAAATTAGATTGTATGTAAAAGCCATATTTACTGGCTACAAACGATCACATCGAAATCAATATGAAAATACTGCTTTGTTGAAATTGGAAGGCGTTGATAAACGAAACGAAACTGATTTTTATTTAGGTAAACGATGTGCATTCGTTTACAAAGCAAAAAAGTAAGATTTTTTTTTGTGAATGAAAATACCAATAAAAAAACTCATTTTTTCACTTTTTAATTACCGAAAACAGTAACAAACCAGTACCAAAACGACCGGGAAAATTGAGTAAATTTCGTGTCATCTGGGGTAAAGTAACTCGCGCACATGGTAATTCTGGTGCTGTTCGTGCTAAATTCCATAAAAATCTACCACCAAAAGCTATGGGTCGTCGTGTACGTGTTATGTTATATCCATCAAGAGTATAAAAACCATAACATGAATTTTCTGACAATTCTATGTATTCGTTTGATGATGATTTTTATATAAAAAAAAAACAATTCGAAAATTGTCAAGTTTAAATTTTTGGCACTTTATTTGTACAACAACAACAACAACAAAAATAATATTTCACTGTAAAGGTGTTAATAGATTTAATTCAATAAGATTAATAATAGAATCAGCAATGATTCTTGCATTAGTATGTTGATAACCACCGCTCAATAGCATAACAATGGCCACTTTATTACGGGATCCAAATCGAAACATTGTTTCATCTCGTTTTATTATTCCCTAAAATTAAGAATTGAACAAAGACAAAAAAAAATTAAAATTCAATTCCAATCAATGTCAATTGTACACAATTACCTTGGCCGTGATGTTAAGCCGTCCAAGACGATCACCTTGTAGACAATCAGTACCGGCATTATAGATTATTAAACCAGGTTTGAAATGATCAGATTCAATAATGGCATTCAGATGGCTATCTCGTCGATGATAGAAATTTTTTTTTTAAACGACAAAAATAATCCAGAAAAAGACTTACAAATCAAGAAGTTTGATATAATTTTCATCATTAGTACGATAACCAATATGTATCTCACGATTGATGGCTTTTTTAGCCATTTCATCACGTGGATAGATTAGTGGATTAAACATATCCAATATGTAGATGAGTTTTCTAATTGAAAAAAAAGAGGACAGAAAAATTCAGAATTTAGTTATCGAAAAAAATATACAGTAGTGATGATATTTACTTTTCATCATTAGTCATTGCAAGTACATCACGTTCATATCCATTACCTTGATGTGCATCACAATCGACAATCAAAATAGGCATCAATGGTCGATCATCAGCTACACAAGCTGACCATATATTACGTATGGCTAATGTGATGTCAGCAAAAAAACAAAAACCAGCCGAACGATTGGCTGTACAATGATGAAAACCACCACCAAGATTAATTGATGACAAATGATTCTGATATGACCAACATGCAGCCATTATTGTACCAGAAGTCTGAAATCTTAATGGCCTTATGATACGTTGATCGATCCAATTGAATGGTAAAAAATACAGTATAAAACATTCCGATGTATGAACCACATTTCTTCGTGATCGAATATTTCGTATAAATTGTTCACTATGAACTAATCGTAATTCATCATTTGAAATTGGTTGTACAGGTTCAATATAATCAATATTATGATTCAATGATTCTTGTATGAAGCTAGCAACTTTACTCCATTTACTTGTATCGAATGGATGTAAATGTTCGATAAGACAGCCAATTTTTACATCATAATTAGATCCAAATATGATTGGATAATGAGTGGAATTTGTTTTATCAATTGAATGGACAACATCATCTTCAGTGAATAATGAATTTTTTCGTATTTGATTCATCATGGCTATCAGTATTGGCCATTTCTAAACAAAACAATGCCATCGATGTCGAATTATGGTTCCAACATTCAGTCACTGTTTTTTGGCTGTTGTTGTTTGGAACACCTACACAACAACAACTATATAGGCAAAATTTGGCCTATCGCTGTAAGAATAGTTTCAATGTTCCAAGAATTTGATTCATCACCATTGGAAACGGTACTTTTAATCAAACAAATTGATTCATAATCATAATGATGATTTGTTTTTTTTGAGAGAGAAAAATGCCGAAAAATAAATTTAAATCAAACAATGAAATTGATCATGATGTTGATGATGAACGATCATCATCAACATCGTCATTATCAAATTCGAATGATAAAGATTCTCATCTGGAAGATCATCTTGAAGGGTATGTGATTTGATGTGAATTTTTGCGATAAATTGATTTTTTTCTTTTTTTTTCTGCCAGAGCATATGATCCAAATAAATTCGATTGTCCGGATGCACCATCACATGTACGGAATTTATTTCAATTCATTGGACATTATTCACCACAAATGATTGAAATTGGACCACGATTAAAACCATTCATACCGGATTATATACCAACGGTTGGTCATGTTGATGCATTTATTAAAATACCGTATCCTGATGGTCGTACAAATGATCTTGGATTGACTGTACTGGATGAACCAAATATCGAACAATCCGATGCTACATTGTTGCAAATGAAATTAAAGGCATTATCACGGGAAAAAGTTCAAACCACGGCAACAAAAACAACAACGAAAGGCGATGATCACGATGACAATGGAAATGATTCAGCCAATTTGATTGCAGTAACGGCAGATCCAGTCGTACCAATGATACAACCAAATCAATCGAATATTACGAAAGAAATTAATAAATGGATTGATTATGTTAAACAATTACATGAAACAACAGCACGGCCAGAATCGGTTGCACTAATACATCAACTATCGGATCATGAAAACATTGAATCATTGATGCAAGAATGGCCCGAAGAATTGGAAACAACATTGAATGTTCATACGATACCAACACCAGAATTAGATTGTAGCATTGATGAATACATGGCAATTTTGATGGCCATCCTTGATATACCGGTGCAGAATAATAAAATTACATCACTCTATCAATTGTTTACATTGTTGAATGAATTTCAAAATTCACAACATTTCAATAAATATGATAATGATGATGATGATGATGATCAACAAAATTAATTAATTAACGTAACGAAGGACGGATGTTTAAAGATAAATAGATATTTGACGTGTTTATTTTATTTTTACGAAAATGAAAATAAAATCTACCTATACTCTATGAATGACCCATTATTATTATTGTTTTGTCAAAACAATTTTTGTTTTGTTTCTGTTTATCATTTTTCATCAATCGAAAATTAAAACATTCAAACGCCCTTTTATTATGGTTAAACAATAAAATTTAATTTAATTTTCTGAAACAAAAAAAAAGAATTGTGATAATCATCATGTCATCATCATCATCAAGACGTTTTGAAGATCTGAAAGATGAATTGATTTCATTGAAGGAAAAAATACGAATTCATCGTCGCCGTAATGCAAGTATGCGTGAAGATTTGATAATTTGAGTTATTTTTGATGGGTTTTTTTTTTGCTTTCGTTCATTTAGATGAACTTACAATCAATAAATTGTTTATCGATGGTGATCGTTTGATTGAAATGTTACGAAATGAAGTGGCCAAATGTCCACCACAAGTACAATCCGAAATGAATGGCCGTTTTTTTGCATTGATGAATGAATGGAATGCATTTAAAAAGACTACCACTACAAGTTCGAATGGCGGTAGTAGATCTATGGGTAGTACATTTGGCCAACAAAATTCATATAATACTGATGGTACACAAAGACAAATTCTAGCACAAGCAATTGGATCATTAGAACAAACATCATTATCATTACATCGTTCTGAAATGGTGGCTAGAGAAACCGAAGAAATCGGTACAAATATTGTTGATGAATTAGGTAATCAACGTGAATCATTATTGCGTACAAGAGAAACATTGGAAACAAATAATGAAAATCTAAAACGAACACATCGATTAATACGTACTATTAATACAACATTGATAACGAATAAATGTCTTTTAATTGTGATCATTTTGATGGAAATTCTAATACTTTTAGCCATCATTGCCTATAGGTTTATTATTCATCATCATAAATAATAATTTTTGTACGATTCATTTTTGAAATTTTTTCTTTTCTTTTCTATATTAAACTTTGAAAATTACATTTTACAATTTTTAAATTAAATTGAATTTTCACACAAAAATTCCATAATTTTTTTTATTTTGTTTGATTGATTGATGAAATATGGCTGATGATTGGTGCAAAAATGTCAATTTTCACTTCACAGACAGACAGGATACAGGATGTATAATAATCTTAAAGAATAATCAAAAAAAAAATCAATCAACTATATCAAATATCGGAAGCAATTGTCACAGACATACACAATAATCATCACTAATTACTAGTTTTGATTCCATTTATTCATCATTGAACAAGTAAATTTGAACAACACACAAACACACACACACACCGGTGACATAGTTCACTGATCATAATTGAACACATCAATTTTGTTATTTTTTCTTCGACCAAAATGTGTAAGAAAACCAATACGAATATTAAATGATTATTGATTGAAAAAAAAATTTTTTTTTTTCATTGCAACAATGATGATGATGATTATTATTTCCGTCCATTCGACGATAATTATTGAATAAATATTCGAATTCTAAAAAAATTCATGACAAAATTCCATTTTCAACTACAATTATGACCGCCAGATGGCGTTGTACATTTAAATTGAAATTACCGCTAATTTTTTTTTGTTTTGTTTTATGAATTCCACAAATATTCATTAAAAAAAAAAATGTCTACGACGATGGAAAATGAAAGAAAAAAAAGAGGCGTTTGAGATGAGATGATTGTAGGATGTTGATGAAGAAGAGAAATAACAAAAACAACAACATAGTCTATGGTCAATAGACTTGTATATACAGATAGACCGATAGGCTATTTCGGTTGTTGTTTTTTTTTTGGTGTATGCATCATGAGACGCGCGTCAATTTGGAAATGAACATACCACCATTTAATATGGTATATATCTGTGTGTGTGTGTGTGCGTGGACTCTGTGTGTGTGTTGTGTTCTAGTCTCTGGTCTGGTCTCTATGTGTTCTGTTCATTTTGAATTTCTTCTGGATCTTTTGAACACCCATCAGCGCGCCATACATATACAAAAAAAAAAATTCAAAACCAGTCTTGTATTTGACGTTGACCGATGCAGACCATCGGAGATATCATACACACACACACATCTCGGATACAGATCAGATCCAAAGAAATGAAACATTGAACAAATGAATTTTTTTTTTTTTTCTTTGATTTTCAATGAAAAAAAAAATTTAATTTTTTTCTGTCTGTCTGTCTGTCTGTCTCTGGTTTTGATATTGTTTCCGAGTTTGTCCATTGATTGAAAAAAATAAATTCAAAAACAAAAAAAAAAATTTTACGCATGCTTCAATCGAAAATCGAAAATCTTGTGTTATGTTGTTATATGATGATGATCATTTGATGTTATGTACGCGTGTGATATTAATAATGATTTGAATTTTTCAATTTGAAATTTTTTTTTTTATTATTATTTCATTTTTTGTCATCATTCCGTAATATACGGATCATCACCATTCCGTTATGTGTGTGTGTGTGTGTACGTATGTAAAGTAAAGTAAAGTGTAGTTGTAGTAGTAGTGAGTTTGTAAAATTGTATGAATAAAAAAAAACAACACGTGCAATTACCATCATCGTCATCATCATCATTTATAACTAAAATAACACACACACACACACACACAAAAATGGATGTAAATACAGCAAATATTTTACCATTAATATGGGCATCAAAACTTGGTTCAATTGGAATAAATAATAATAATAATAATAATCCATCAATGATGATGATGGGTGATGATCAAAGTCCACCACCACCACCGCCACCACCATCGCAACTACCACAATCATCACAACAACAACAACCACTTCCGCCACAAATAATGTCATCATCAACAACACAAGTGATATCATCATTATCATCATCATCATCAACTACGCCACCACCATTATTATCATTATCATCACAAGTGATTAATAATAATAATAATAATAATGGTATTTTATCAAATTTAAGCATAATTCCACAACAACAACAACAACAACAACCAACATTGAATTCATCATCATCATCAACAGCAGCAGCAGCTAATTTATGGGCTGCTGCTGCATTATCAGCAAATGATTTAACATTATCATTTCAAAAATTATTAGCAGCCGCTGCTTGTAATGGTGGTGTTGGTTTACCATTATCCACCGGTAATAATAATAATGGAACAAATTCACCAGATTTATCGGAATCTACTGCTTTAGCTGCTGCATTACAAAATTCATTGATAAATCATTCATTATCATCTGGTAATATTAAATCACAACAACAACAGCAACAATTATCAACCGGTTTAATTTTAAATGGTTTTCTTGGATCATCATCACAATTGGATCGTCCAGTAACCACAACAACAACAACAACGACAACAGCAGCAGCATCAGCATCAGCAACAACCACAACAACAACATCGACAAATGGATTACATGCAATGATTTCATCTATAGCAGCTGCAGCCGCAGCAGCCGGAACAACAACAACAACAACAACAACAACAGCAACAAATCATCAACAACAATCAGATATGTTAATGAATAGAATACCAATTGATTCATTAACAACAACAATCGGTAATGGTTGTACATTGAATAGTAATGGTTTTGATCTTCAACAAGCATTATTAGCACGATTAGGACAAGCTGCATCATCAATATTGACAAATGATTTGGATCCATCGATTTCAGCAACAATAATAAATAATAATAATTCAATTTATAATTATAAAGCCAAACAATTATCATCATCACCATCGTCACCATCATTATTACCTCCACCACCACTACCACCACACAACAACAACAACAACAACAACAAGTTAATCATCATGTCAATTCCTATCTATCATCATCATCATCATCAGCAGCAGCAGCAGCAGGTATGGAATTAATGATTGAGTGATTGCTATATTTGTGTGCGTGTGTGTGTGTGTGAGATCAAATCAAAATCAATTACTTCACTCATACACACACACACACACACACAAAAAAAAATAAAGCGGCCAAATATCACATTACACATCATTAATCTTTTCGATACTCATACAATCATTATTAGATTGATGCAAATTTTTTGTTGTTGTTGTTGTTGTTGTTGTTGAGCCATGGTCAATATTGAATTTCGATTAGGTCAGGATAGTGATTGATTGATTTAGACTGGGCATAGAGAAAAAAACCGAAACCGAAACACACACACACACACACAGAAGATGTGAGATCTGCATAAATTTATTTGTTTTGAAATTCAAAAAAAAAAAAAATTTTTGTTTGGCGAGAATAAAAAACAATGAAAATAAAAAAAATGGTAGATAATTAATGATGATGTGATATGAAATGAGAATCTATTTGTTTTTCTTATATGAAACAGTAATAATAATATTGATTTACCCGTCGCAATTTTTTCCATTTTCAGTCAATTTCAAACTTTCTATTGGCTTTTTTTCCTACTTATTTTATTTTTTTTTCTTCGTTTTGCTTTGCAGTAGTATTGAATTTTTGAATTTAAATTTAAAAAAAATTTAGTAGCATAGTATATAGTGTTTTGGTAGGTAAATATTCATTCAAATATCATTCATACAAACAATATATTCTTCATTTTAACAAATGAAATTCTTTATAACAACAACAACAACAACAGCGACAACGACAACGACAACAACAAAATAGGCATAGAGAGTGTCCAAATGGAAATGGAAATTCGACAGCAAAAAAAAGCACCTAACCTATGAAAAAAAAAAAAATACAAATGATGAATGCATGAAAAGAGAGCGAGGGAGAGAGCGAGAGAAATGTGAAAAGCAAAATCATTCAATAATATTGAATGATGTGATATGATTTAAATTTCAAATTTTTCTCTTTCTCTTCTGGTCCATAAGAGAAAAATAGAATTTTTTTTCTCTTTCAAGGAATTTTTAGCTGATTTTTTTTTCACTGAAATGAAATGGTATATTTTTTTTTCTACCATCACCACCATTTTCATCATGTTTTTTTTTTTTCGTTCATTGATCAGAATTTGGATTTATAGCCGTGGTAAAAACGAAAAAAAAAATTCAAATGATGACATTATTCACAATTATTGTATGCTATATAAGATAGGCTTGTATTGTCTGAATTTTTTTTCTTTTTTCATTTTCCCTTCCTTTTTTTTCGTACGGATCGGGTTCAGGGTGTTGGCTTAAAACATCATCATTATCAACAAAAAAATAAAATAAACACACAAGTTTATTTTACATATTATTATTATTATTATTCAAATAACTATAAAATAGTGCTATATGCACAGGCATTCATATATATATAAAAAATTTGCATAACCACGCACACATGTACACAGATACACTTAGCAGCAGAGAGCAGGCGTCATCAATTTGGCACGCGCCCATTATATTTGAACAATTTTTTTTTCACATATTGAACTGACTTATACAATAGCTACACGACAACGGTAACAAAATGGAAAAAATAAACGAATGAATGAATGAATGAATGGATGAATGAATCTACCTGCCTGCCTGCCTGCTATTCAGGCCTGTCAGACGCATAAAATTTGAATGAATTTTTTTTTTCTTCACCATCATCATAATCATTATTATCATCATCATCATCATCAATGATAAAGAAGAAGAATAACGTATCTGCCCACTTTAACATATTGGTCGCTACCGTACATAGTAAAATAATGATAATTTTCATTTTTTTTCATGTTTTCACCTTGATACATATTGTGTATGTGTGTGTGTGTGTGACCTTTATTTTTCTTGTATGAAATGAATGATCAACAACAACAATCATCATCATGATTGTTGACCTTTTTTGACCTTAATGTCTCCTTTGGTCTATACGTACGTGTGTGTGTGTGTGTGTGTCTGTGTCTGTATGTCAATCATTCAGACGAATTTATTTTTGTAACAAAAAAAAGCGTCAATATAATTGACAGTGTCTGCGTGTTGTTCAATTTTTTTTTCAAATAAAGACCGCCATGATCGAACGAATAGCGAACGAATATCATACGGAAATTAGATCTTTTTATTTTTTGGTGCCTAGGTTTTTTCTCTTTACTTTGAAAATTGAAATTATGAGAATTTTTTCAGGTCATCTTTGGTCGGATTCTCGATTCAATGAATATGATGATGATGATGATGATTGAGTTTATCAATGATGTGTGACTTTTTTTTCAAATTTATAAAATTGATTTTTCATTTTCATTTTCATTTTCTTTCTTTTTCTCTCTATCTTATTATTATAATAATTCAATGCTTTATGAATGAATATGACCTGGCGGTATGGATCATAGATTTTGTCAATGAAATAATAGATCAAAATATTGGCTGTCGACCATCATCGGCCAATACAAATATTGTTGTTGTTGGTAATAATAATAATAATAATGGGATGACATCGACAACAAATATGGCAATTACTTCCGATACACAACAACAAAGAAATCGACAACGAAGAAATCAACGAAAACGACATACATCATCATCATCATCATCATCATCGACAACAGCGACAACAACAACAACAACAACAACAACGGCTGCAATAACATTATTGAATGATAGTAATATTGTTGAAGAAAATGATAATGATGATGATGATGATGGCCAGAATAGTCATTGTTCATCAAATACAAATGATGGATGTTCTCATGGTAGTGTAGCATCAGATGATGATGAATGTATTCCTGGTGATAGTGATGATGTTAACGATAATCTTAATAATGTGGATGATGATAATATTGTACCAAGTAGTGGTATTTGTAATAATAATTCCGATACCGATGATGATGATGATGATGACGAAGGTAGTGGTGATTGTGAAAATAAACAGGAAATACAATTAACGGTTGAACAGCAGCAACATATATCAAAAGATCAGGATAATCATCAAATGGATACGGAAGATGAAGATAATGATAATGATAATGATGAGATTTTAAAATCAGAAATAACAAAAAAACGATCAATCAATACAGTGATGATGAATCGTCGAAAATTATCAACAGCCAATAGATTAAATAGCCGAAATAATACGGTTGCAGCATCATTACAATCATTATCATCATCAAGAATGATGTCTACAAATCAGCCATCATCAACACAACGGAATCAGGGTAATAAAAATAATGGAACAAAAATTAGAACAAAATCTTTGAATAATCAACAATTCATACAAAATGGTGGTGGTAATGGGAATTCATCAAGAAAACGAAAATATTCATCAATGTTGGGCACTAGATTGGCAAATAAAATGACTACAAATACGTTATTGATGCCAACAACAACAGCAGCAGCAACCCTAAATCAATCATTACCACAACCACCATCAACATCACCATTAACGACAATGTTAATGGCACAACATCATATTGATCCACAACAATTTATTTCGGGACATCATAACAATATTAATATTAATAATAATAATGGCAATAATCAACAAATGTCTAATGGTGGCCATCATCATCTTAATTATAATAATAATAATCAGCCACAATTAACACAAGCAGCATTTGCAGCAGCAACTGCTGCATTAGCAACAGCAGCAGCTGCAGCCGGTATGACTGTTAATCAATTAATTGCACAGGTAAGTTTTTTTTTTGTGTGTGTGTGTGTGTGTGTAGGAATTTGTGTGTATATATTATTTTCATTAAAATAATTATGATTATGATGATGATTATCCAATTATTAGTTAATGGCACAAGCAAATCAACAGCAAATGTTTTTACAACAAGTACAAGCTGATCTTTTACAACAACAATGTAAACAACAACAACAACAACACCCACAACAACTACAACAACATTTGATGTCCATTTCATCACCACCACCACCATCATCATTAACAACAGCAACGACGATGAATATTTCAACATCATCGACAACTACGACAACGATGGCTTCAACAAATGTCCAACATTGTTCACCAACAACACAATCATCAACATTGACAGCAGCAGCAGCAGCCAATTGTTTATTTCCACAATTATTAGCGGCAGCCGCATCATCAACAACATCACCAACAATATCAGCGGCATCAACATCAACAACAACGGCGATGAATAGTCCACAACAATTATTACCATCGATGGCTACTATTCAACAATTACAGGCACAATTATTGCTTCAGAATCAGGTAAGTGATAGGATTTTTGAGATGTTTTTTTTTCTCATTCAAAAATTGTAAATCGAATACGAAAACTTTTTCTCAAATGCCCAAAACAGGGACTATTTCCACCGAATATTCTAGCACAAGGTTTACAGAATTTAGCTGCCACAAGTGCAGCGGCTGCATTTCTTAATTCCCCAGTATCAAAAGGTTCCATTCCAAGTCCATCAGCACCAAGTCCAACATTGACCGGTGGTACAATTAATCATCATTCACATCATCATCATCACCATGATGATCATAAATCTCCATCGAATTCTTTAGAACATCGATTAAATCTTTTATCATCAACATCGCCAAATCCATCATCTTCGAATTTGATCCACCATAATAATCACCCATTATCACAACATTCAATTCCTCATCATCATCATTTAAATTCACCTGGATCATTATTACAGACATTACAAACATGTCAAACACCATTAATATCTGGACAATCCATCAACAACAACAACAATACGAGCAACATTTCATCAAATACAATCGGTTATGAATGTTCCATTTCAAGTCCATCACGAGCATCGGAAGCTATTAACATTAGCAGCATCAGCAACAACAACAACAGCAGCAATAATAATAATAATAACGTTGGTCAATTATCGCCCACACAATTATTACAACAATATCATAAAAATGTTAGTAGCCTAACAACTGGATCAAATAATTTGCTCATTATGAATGATACAAATAAACAGCAGCAGCAACAACAACAAAGTAATCATCATCAAAATAACCAATCAAATGGTAATGATCAATTGATAATAATGAGTAAACAACAACAACAACAATCATCATCATCATCATCATCAATAGATAATACAAATATTATTGATTCGATTGGATCAACGATTAGTCATTCACATCATCATTCAAATAATCATCATAATCATAATCATCATCATCATCATCATCATCATGGAACAAATACACAATCTAATCGTAGTATTCGTTCACCATCAACATCACAGACATCTACTTCATCATCATCATCAACAACAGCCGGCCATCATAGTCATAATCATCATCATCCACATCAAACATTATGTAAAGCAGCATCAACAATGCCATCGGCTGTATTGATGAATAATCAACAATCGACTGGACAATCAGGACAACAACAGCAACGGGCTAATAGTAATAATAATACAAATAATAATAGTGGTACGGGTACGGGTAACAATAGTATTAGTGAACTTAATCCCGATGAAATGACCGACCTTGAAGAGCTTGAACAATTCGCTAAAACATTCAAACAAAGACGTATTAAGCTTGGTAAGTCTTCATTGTGCACACGTTATTAACACACACACACACACAAGCACATCATTTGATCAGATAGAAAAAAAAGAGAGCTGATTAGTGTGACATGGCCACTACTATAGTATATATTTTGAATAAGAAGCTTATCGCATGCAAAAACACACACACACACACACACACAAACGCAAAAATACAAATGAATAACAGTGACGCCAATGATTAACCATCATCATCAAATATAATATATGGAATTTATAATTCACTTGGTCAACACTATTGAATCACGTGTTGTTGCTTATCTTGAATTTACTTTTTTTTTTGTTCTCATTTCTTAATATATTCATATATATATATAGGCTTTACACAGGGAGATGTTGGCTTAGCAATGGGTAAATTGTATGGAAATGATTTTAGTCAAACTACCATTTCTCGTTTTGAAGCATTGAATCTAAGTTTTAAGAATATGTGCAAATTAAAACCATTATTACAACGATGGCTTGAAGATGCTGATGCTTCATTGAATAATCCAGGTGGATCTGTATTAGGAAATGGTGGTAATAATGGTGGTGTTGGTGGTGCTAATGGTGGTTCAATTGCATCTGGATTATTAAGTGGTTCAGGATCATTACAACCAGGTAATGGTAATGGACATGGTATATCCGGTATTTCCGGTACAGGATCATCAACTAATGGATCATCAAGTGGATGTGCAATTCCATCAGTAGATTCATTGAGTGGACGTAGACGTAAAAAACGTACTAGTATTGAAACCAGTACACGTGTAGCATTAGAAAGAGCATTTTTACAGAATCCAAAACCAACATCCGAAGAAATAACAATGTTAGGCAATTCATTGTGTATGGAAAAAGAAGTGGTACGTGTTTGGTTCTGTAACCGTAGACAGAAAGAAAAACGTATTAATCCACCAACGACAACATCATCAGCATCAAGTGGTGCAGCATCCAATTCACCGGGACCTAGTTCACCATTATCATTAGTATTTGGTGGACAAAATTTTCTTGATGAACAAGATGATGATGATTATATTGATTATGATGATGACGACGATGACGATGACGAAGATTATGATGCTACAAATGATGGTTTGAAAAATAATCTACATTTTACTGGTCATTTCTCTAATCTTAATCATCAATCTAGATTTCAATCAATTAAATCTGAAGATGATTTTCAACAGGACATAACAATGAATAAATTATCAAAACAACGAGATAATTCATCATTAAAAACTGGCAATAATAATGGAAGACGAAAACAAAGTCAACATTCAATTAATCATAATCGTCATAGTAATAGTGTATCACCAACCACCATAGCCACAACAACAATTCCATTAGATCAATTGGAATTGAATCAACAACAACAACAACAACAACATAATCTTGTTGATTCAATAATAATATCTACGATTAAAAATGAGAAGAATGATGATGATGATGATCAAGATCACAATGATCAAGATGATAATGATGACGATGATGATGAATTAATAACCAGTAATGGTAGAGGTAAATGTAATGATGAAATAACAATACAACAGAATAATAATGTAAATATGATGATGATGATGATGGCAGCGGCGGCGGCGGCGGCAACATCAGCTGGTAACATTCAACAATCTAGTCCAAACAACAATTTGCAACAACAACAACCATAATGTTCCAACAACAAAAATGGTTTTCCATTCATTTTTTTCTAAATTAAAATTTTTACCAAAAAAAAAGAAAAATTCCGAAAATTGTAATATTTAACACATAATATTTGAATCACATATACTACCTATATATATATATAATATGAATTAGTCTCTCTCTCTCTCTCGCTTTTTAATGAGTATGAATTTCATTTCATTTCGAGGCAATCAAGCAATTTCTTTTGCAAAGAAAAAAAAATTAGAAAAAAGTGCAACACACCCACCACACACACACACACACACAGACGAAACATTTAATCAATTTAATTTAATTCAATTGTTTTTAACCGAATTCAATACATACCATTATTTCTTCTTCTTCTTCTTCTTGCTCCATTGCTTCATTCAGTCAATTAAGCTGTGCTAATCATTCTTTGTAAAAAAAAACTTACACACCAATAAACCAACGAAAAAAAAAATTTTCAAGATGAAACAAAACCACAATTTGTCATTTACATTTAGAAAACCTTTTTTTTCTTCTCTTTCTTCTTTATCGTTTTTTTCCCCTGTGAAATATAATAATAATAAATGTGTCAATTAAAAAAAAATTGCTGGAATCTAGTAGATTCTCACCTTTTATAAATCTAGTAGAAGGAGATGGTGGTGGTGGTAAGTTGAACAAAAAAAAAAAAAAAAATAAAATTGATTGATGTTCGATGAATTTGTTGTAGTTTTTTTTTTTGTTTGTTTGTTCACAAAAAAAAAAAAAAATTTACATATTTCCAAATGTTCAACATGAGACGATGAAAAAATAAATTGGCCAAATGAAAATAAAAAAAAAAACGAAATATGAAAATACAGCCAAAATAAAAAGACAAAAAAAAATACAAAATTCAATAAATTTTCCACCATTTCACCCAGAGAGTGGTCCAAAATCAAAAAAAAAAAAATCATCGGTTCCATTTGTTTTCATTTTTCTTTTTTTATTCTGTGAAATGAATGTACTACTACTGCTGCTGCTTCTGAATATATATGTATGTAAATTGGCCATATTAAGCAAATGAGCTTTTTGGATGGCAAGATTGACGAACCCCAAAGAAATAAAATGGATATATGGATGGATGGATGGATGGATGGATCGAAGATTTCAGTTGTGTTTCATTGCCATTGTTGATTTGGTTTTTGTTTCAAAACAAAAAAAAAAAATTTAAATAAGCTTAAAACATACACAAAAATGATGATGATGATGATGATGATGAGGAAAAGTCCATAACGTTATGGGGAGATTGAATGAAAAATAAAATAAAAAAAAAAAATGCAATTCAAAATGGAAACAAACAAACAAACATCATCATCATCATCATCCATTGATCATTGATCATGGCCATACAAACAAACAAACAAATTTGATATCTTTCATTTGTTTGAGTGAATGATGAAGAGAAAAAAAAAAATACGCAGTGTATAAAAAAAGAAAAAATTTGATTGATTGCCAATGATCATCATATTGCCGCATCAATGCATGATTTTTTTTCTGTTTTGTTTTTTGTCGAATGAAAATGTAAAACAAGTACTTTCCCTGTGTATGGACAATAAAAGATGCAAATTTTTCTAAATTCAATCCATTCTGATTAGATTAGATTAGAATTGAAGAATGAAAACAAAACAAAAAATTTTTTTTTTTACTTTTCATTTATTTTATTTTATATATCAAATGCAATACATATATATGATATATTGATAATGATGATCAAAATAATAATATAATATAACATTATTTATGAACAGTCTGTCAATAGGTAACGTTATTTGTGTATGTGAATGAGATTAATATTTTTATCGATAATTTTTCATTTATTCTTAGGACACATGTATATATTACAATAGGTAGGTGGTGTGTGTAATAATTGTGTTGTTTCGTCAAATTTTATTATCGTTTCAGTCTGTAGTAGTAGTAGTAGTAGTAGTAGTATCAGTTGGTGTTGCCGATGTTGATATTGATATTTGTTGCCGTTCTTGATTATTATTGATTATCGATGATGAATCATCATAATCATCATCTTCATTATCATCATCAACATCGATATCATCATCATCGTCATCATCTAATATGGTCGATATTGAATGATGATGATGTTGATGTTTAGAACGTTGATGTTGTTGTGATGAATTTAAATGTCCAATTGATGATCTTCCGGATGTAGAAGTGGCTATAGTACGAAGTGGAGAATCACCACCATATGATGATGATGTTGAACTATTTGATGATCGATTACCTAAATGTAATTAATATGAGAATGAGATAGATGATCGAAAAAGAATTTTGAATTGAATGAATTCAAAAAACAAAAACAAAACAAAAAAAACACCTACCAATTTGATCACCATATGAACCACCGGAATAAAACATCAAATCAGTTGGTGATGATGAACCAAGTGGTGAACCACAACCAGGACCAGGTGGATTAATACGTTTTTCTTTCTGTCGACGATTACAGAACCAAACACGTACCACTTCTTTTTCCATACATAATGCATCGGCCAACATACAGATCTCTTCCGATGTTGGTTTCGGATTCTGTATGAATGCACGTTCCAATGAAACACGTACAGTTGTTTCAATACTTGTACGTTTTTTACGCCGTCTACCGCTAACAGCTTCGGGCATTTGTGCTAATGCTGCTGGACTTGGTATGGAAATCGTACCGGATGGATTATTCAATGATGCATCGGCATCTTCAAGCCATCGTTTCAATAATGGTTTTAATTTGCACATATTTTTAAAACTTAGATTCAATGCCTCAAAACGTGATATTGTTGTTTGGCTGAAATCATTACCATATAGTTTACCCATTGCTAAACCAACATCACCTTGTGTGAAACCTATTCAATGGCAGGAAAACAACATTTGTCATTTTTTTCTGGGTTTTGTTTTGTCAAAAAAAATGACAAACAAACAAAAAACTTACCAAGCTTAATACGACGTTGTTTAAATGTTTTAGCAAATTGTTCCAATTCTTCGAGATCAGTGATTTCATCTGCATCAACTTTATTAACATGTGCACGTAATTGATTAGCTGGAATTGAACTAACTGATGTTAAGCTATTATTATTACTACTGCTACTATTGTTGTTGTTGTTATTCGTTGTGGAAAAATGATGATTATGATTATGATGATGATGATGATTATATTTACTATGAGCATTAAATGATCCTGTTAATGATGATGGCGATGATTGTGATGGTGATGATGATGATGATGAATTTAGTGCTTGCCGCATTGATTTAACTGTCATTGGTGAATGTTGTTGCGGTGTCGTAATCGTAGTAGCCGTATTAGTGGATAAATTATTTAATTTTAAATATGTAGATAATTCTCTTTGTTCATGATTATTATTTACATGATGATGATGATGATGATGATGATTATCAATATTTTGATTCTGTTGTTGTTGTTGTTGTTGTTGCTGTTCTTTAATAATCATTGCTAATGTTTCACGACATGTTCTTTTATTATTATTATTATTATTATTCTGACCACTACCACTATGTTGAAGACCATTATGATTATGATGTTGATGATGATGATTATTATCATCATTATTTAATAATGTCGGTGATAATGATGATGATGTTGATGAATATTCTGTTGCAATTTTCATTTGAAAATCATCATATAATAAACGTTTATTATTCATATTAATTAAATTTGATTCTTGTTGATTCTGTTGTTGTTGTTGTTGTTGTTGTTGATGATGATGATATAGATTCAGTAAACGTTTTTGTTGTTCTTTAACTAGCCTTAGTTTGTTGTTGTTGTTGTTGATCAATCGATGATAATCCATGATAATATTTTTGATTTGTATTACTGTTGTTGCTGTTGGTGTTGTTGTTATGATTTTGATTATTTTTCGGTGATGGACTTGATCTTGTCAATGGATTATTATTCAATGTTGATGATGGTGATGATCGATTATTATTATTATTATTATTGACTATTAAATTACCACCAATTGATTGATGATTACCGGTTAATGAGGAATGTGTAGAGAATAAATGATGTTGTTGTTGTGAATGATTACCAGTTATTATAGTATTGCCACTGTTATTACTATTATTACTGATGCTACTACTACCAGCATGATTAGCTAGATTCTGTAATCCGATTAAACTTTGTTGAAAGAAATTCTGTTTTTCAATTGAGAAAAAAAAATAGTGATGATTATTATTATTATTTTTGACTTTTCTTTATTCTTGTTTGATTTTTGAATACTAACCTGATTACCAAGTAAAAACTGTGCTTGTTGTAATTGTTGTTGTAGATTCTGTGTGGTTAATTGTTGAGAACTTATAGATGTAGTAGCATTACTACCATTACCACCAGTTAATAACGGAAGTAAAGGACTTAGGAATGATGCAGCAGCTACAGCAGCTGCCTGTGATGATGAATTTTCATGACCATTTTTCTGATTTAACAATGATAATGAATGTGCCAAGTTTGGAATCTAATGTTGGCAGCACAAAAAAACAAAACACATTGATTATCATTAAATTCAAATCAATCAAATTCAAATATAATTCAAATTTTACTCACGTTTTGTGGAAGAAAAAATGGCGATGCTGTCTGATTCAATTGATTCAGTTGATTCGATGATGGCTGTGGATATAAATTCATCAATTGTGACAATAATTGATCACTTGGATGTTGTTGTTGTTGTTGATGTTGGATCGATTTTGACTGCTGCTGTTGTTGTTGTTGTTGTTGAGATGGACCGGATGTAGCGGCGGCTGCAGCGGCTGCTGCCGCAGCAGCTGCTTGAAATGCTTGATTAGCTAATAATGACTGTATTGCTGGCAGATTATTGACCGCTACTAATTGCGATGAATTTGATACAAGAACCTGGGCAAATGCTTGAGCAGCAGCTTGTGCTGCAGCCGCTGCTGCTGCTGCTGCTGTGATCGATGTATCCGAATTATTTCCATCACTATTATTGTTGTTGTTGTTGTTGTTGTTGGAACCATCGTTATTTGATATGGTCGTCGTCATAGCTGCAGATGTATTATTATTGGATGATGATGAACTTGTGACCAGATTTAATAGATCATTGGCTGTTAAACCAGATTGAGATTTTGTTAATGATTGTAATAATTGTAATTGATGATTCTGTTGTTGTAGATCAAATTGTTGTTGTTGTTGTCCAAAAATTCCATTCAATAGTATCGATGGTGACAATCGATTCGATTGTATTGTTGAATTTGATGATGATGATGATCGTTTATTTAAATCTGAATTTGAATTTTTGAATCCATGTTCTGGTGATGGTGATGATGATGATGATGATGATGATTTACGATTATGAATACGAATATGATTTTTTATTGGAAATATTCGATCATTAATCACATTCTTTGAAGAATGTTGTTCATCATCATTCTCATCATTATCAGGATTATCATCATTTTCATTTTGATTTAATAAATCTGGTGATTGAGATTTTTTATTCTGATGATTATCAATACTGGTTCCATCATCATCATCATCATCAACATCGGAATGATCGTCATAATTATTTACAATTACAGTACCATTTACATTATTCGTCACTTCAACATCATCATCATCATCAATCGATTTATCAATTTTAGCTGCATCGGTTAATACTGCATTAGTAGCAGTGGTTGTGGTGGCGCTAGTGCTGCTGCTGGTGGTGGTGGTGGTTGTTGACTGATGTTGATGCTGATGCTTATGTTGACCATCCATAATCAAATTCATCATCATCATGATTGTCATATCATATATGGAAACGTTATGATTGTAGCCGCTTTATTGTTGCCGCTCTGTGTGTGATTAAGTTTTTGTTTGTTTGTTTGTTTGTTTATCAATCAATCGAAATTTTGAGGTAGTGGTTTTTTTTCGATTTAATTTTTTTTTTTTTTTTTTGAAAATTTTCTTTTCAATTTACATTATTGATGATATGACCTATGGATAAGATGAAATAAAAAAAAAAAATAAAGAAATTTAGCCACAAAAAATAAATAAATAAATTTTTCATCTTAAATCACTGATAATGATGATGATGATGATGAAATGGAAATTGGCGAAAAAAAAAATAAATTCCAAGATTTTTTTTGGATTCGGATCATTAAAAAAGTTATCATCATCGTTTGATATGTACAGAAATTGGAAATTTCCGCCATTATCAATGAAATGAAGAAGCAACTGTAAAAGTCATCATTTGAAAATCATTCATTCAAATGATCGATTAGGTGACAATTTTCACACACACACACACACACACACATACAACATATCAAAAACAGATTTAGACCCGGGAGATATGAACAAAAAAAAATCATCATCATCATCATCATCATCATCATTTTGACCCGTGAAATATTTATGAATTCAAACGTAAGTATGTGTTGTTGGTGGCCATTTTTTTTTCTTGTTACACCAACATCATGTGTGTGTGTGTGTGTGTGTGTGATTATCATTGACATATGATATGAACGGAAAAAAATGAAAAAAAAACAAATTTTTTACACATTAGATGAATGAATGAATACAAGCTTGAATAATAACCAAAGAAAAAACTGAACCAGAAAAAGTGGTTGATACACCTGTGAAATCATGTAAAAGGAAAAAAAAATTTACCTCGTTTATAGTCATCATCGTTTACACCTGCTGCTGCTAATTTTATTATTCGAAAAAAGAGAATCAAGAACAACAACAACAACAACAACAACAACAAAACGAAGAAGAGCAATTTTTTGATTGATTGATTGAATAAAGTGCAAAGAACTGCAATGATTACACACTATGTTCATTTTGTTTGCTGATTTCATTCTTCTTTTCTTGTTCATTTGATTTCATTTAATTAGATTTTAATCATATTTCTGATTGAAATTTTTTTCAATTTTCATAATTGAAAAAATTTGTCATTTCTTTTCTTGTTGTTGTTGTTGTTGGAAATTAATATCATCATCATCATCATCATCATTGAATTAATAATGATAATCAATAATTTTTTTTCAGGTGATGAATGAAAAAAATTTAATAAAAAAAAAAATTCAATTATAAAATGATCAATCAGAGCATATCGACTGTCAGAAAAAAAAAGAATGATAATAATTCAGATCATTCACCAGAAAAACTATTTTAAACAAAATCAAAACCAAAACCAAAAAAAAAAAACAAACCGAAACTGTAACTATATTCAATCAATCGATCAAAATGAATCTAAAAAAAAAAAAAATAATGTTCAAAGGCGTGAATTCAATCATGTTAATGTATGATTGGTTGACATCATATCATTACTCCTCCTTTAAAAAGGATTCAAAATCATTTGGATGGATAACCTCAAACGATGATAATGATGCAACATGACATCATCATCATCGTGATGATGTTGGGGATGGGCTAATTTGAATATTGTGATTTTCTTTTTTTATTATTATTATTATATCACTACATTGTGTGTGTGTGTGTGTGTGTGTCTGTATTAAAAGGGGATTTGATTTCTTTCTCTCGCTCTGTTTGTGTGTGTTCCTATGGTCTACATTCATACATACATCATCATTAGATTTGAATTTCAAATTTGACTGCAGTGGAGAATGCATGATTGTGTTGCTAGTGATGGTGGTGGTAGTGTTTGCATATGAAAGTGAAAAAAAATCAATTCAATTCAACCATGATGGAATAATAAATTTTCCAGATTCAGAGAAAAAAAAGCATCAGCAGCAACAGCATCAAGCAAGCAAGTGCAACCCATTCGATTCGCTTTTTTCAGTGCATATATTTTTTTTTCACTCTATAACCATCCCATTTCAATGACAAAAGAAAATCTCGTATTTGCCATGGTCAAAGGTCAAATTGTTTTCTTAAATTCTTCAATTTTTTTCAAAAATTTTTCACTTTTTTTCTTGTTCAAATATTGAAAATTTTAATTTACAAAATTGTTTTCATTGAATTTCAAATGAATCAATTTTTTTTTTGGTTCTGTTCTGTTTCTCTAGCAAAAAAAAAAAAAAAAAAAATAAATTACGTGCTTCGTCATTGTTTATGCGAAACAATCATCACAATCAACAATTTTGTATATCACAGGAAACAAATAAACAAATGAAAATGGAAATGGAAATGACCACTTGAATATTGAATGTACGATAATAATTTGATTACGATTACGGTTATTATCAATTTCATTTTGATTTTTTTTTTGTTGTTGTTGTATTGCATTATTATTGAAGAATTGAAGAAATTAAATTCGTGAGCGACTACTACTACTGCTACCGCTACTGATACTGTTAGTATTCAGAAAAAGAATAAAAGATGATGATACATTATCATTACATTTTGAATATTCATAAATACAGAATACACACACACACACGAACATCAGAAAGAATTCATCCATCCATACCAAATACATACTAAAGATATAATTTCCCATTTCAAGAATTTTTCCACTATACAGTCATCAATGATCATAAACAACAACAAACTGAATACAATACATGAATAGAGATCAAAGGCCATATTCAAATTGTTGTATATGAAAAAACATAAAGACTCGTGCCAATCCAACTAAAGAGAATTTGCAAATCATTATTCTGAATGTAAATGTGAATAATAACAACGAAATGAAAAAAAAAAAATAACGGAAAAGAATGAGCCGGATTCTGAAAACGATCAGATCATCATCATCATCACAATGAATTGATGAACTGAATTGAATTGAACTTAACTTGAATTTGCTTGTATATATAATAAATATATGAATAAACTCTGAAAATAGTCATTCATTCTGATTCTTGAATGACTTGTGAATGATCCAACAAACAACAGTAGTAAAAAAAATAACCAGAGTAAGTAAAATGAGTCTCTATGGATCATCATCATCAACATCATTGGAATTGAAGGAATTTGTATATATATGAAAATTGAAAAGAATTTAGAACCAAATATGGACGACGACGTTAGACGAATAATAAGAATAAAAAAAAAATAATAATAGCGATCATATTCAATGGAAAAAGAGAATATGGAAATTCAAACAAAATATTCGCAATACATTAGTCTATATTCAAATTTATTCCAATCGGTTTTTTTCTTTGAACAACAACAACAACAAAGTGAAAGAAAATAAAACCAAACACATCATTATCACTTGAAAAAAATACGGTACGCACATCAAATGTCGTAGCATGATGATGATGATTGTCGATGGATTGAGACCACGACAACATTTCATTGGTTTTTTTTCATTCATTCATTCATTCATTCACAGTATAGTTATTGTAAATTTCATTTTTTTCTTATTTTTCACTTTCTCGTGTCAATAATATTCATAGAATTTATATATTCACCCAGAATATTCTTATAGAGAAAATAGAAAAAAAATAAAAATTAGAAATCATTCAATTCAATTCAAATGAATTCAATTCGAATGAATTCAATGTTGTCAGTGAATTGTGAATTTTTTTTTTTTTTTTCATTGAAAGAGAATTCACAAGAGAATGTCTGTGTGTGTGTGTGTGTGTGTGTTATTAGTGTGAAAATAAAAAATGAATAAATTCATAAATACATGACTAAGGGGATGGGGGCGAGGGGAAGAAAAAAAACCGAAACAGGAACTGGAAATAAAAACTATTGTTTATTGTGGAACTGACCAGTTTCCACCGCCACCACCATTAACAACAAAAGAAGTTACTAGGCCATATGACTGAAAATGATTTAAATTTAATAATTTCAATTCAAGTTTGCTGATTCTCTTCCAATAATAATAATAAAATAATATTCCGTTGTTGTTGTTGTTATTGTATCAGAATTTTTATTTGATATTTTAAAATCATTTTTTTTCATTATTGCCCATTCCAAATCAATAGAATCACGAATATTCAGGAGAGAGAGAGAGAAATCGAATGAAAATGAAATGGCCATACAAAACCACCACCACCCTGGAACCATCAGCATCCAATAATTTAAATATTTTTCATTATTATTATATGTGGATGGCCAGCGAATGGAATATGGAATATTTATTCTTCTGGCCTTTTTGTACACACACACACACACACAGACATTTTAGCATAGAATTTGCTTCATTTTTTTTTCACCATTCTCAATCCAAAAATTCTTTATTCGTTTTCTCCCACCAAAAAAAAAAAAAATTCAAATGTCCGTATGGTCCAATTTGAATGGCTTATGGGCATTGGAGAGAGCCAAAAAGAAAAAAAAATACGAGATCCATGGAAAGAAAAAGAAAAAAAAAATTTCCATCCAACTATATGCACACAAATGAAAAAAAATTGAATATGGAAAAATACACACACACACACACATCACATTCAACAAAAAAAAAGAAAAAGGCAGCGAAAAAAAAATGCAAAGATCGAGAAAGCAAAAAGCAATAATCATATTGATGTGGTATATATTTATTTGGTTGCCCATACATACATAAAAACTGGAATTCAAATGGACAAAATATTCTTTTTTTTCTGGAACACTTGTACCCCCTCACCACCACCACCACTTTGTTCCAGAAAAAAAACATTCCGATTTCGTCGTCATCATCATCATCATTGTAGTCGTCGTCGTCGTCGTTATTTTTTTTTCTATGTGGCAATTCACATGGACATTTTTTTTTCATTCAAATGTTAATAAATCCACTACTGTGTGTGTGTGTTTAGTTATGTAAAAATTTAGAATTGGACAATAACTTTCACACAGTGTTTTAGTTGTCGGGATTTATGTCTCTCTCT